TGGAGTACCACCACCTGGGCTTCCTTCAACTCGTTCCGATCTATCCACATCTAATCTCTCAGAGCGTTCTATTTTTTTACGATCTATAGATCTTGATCGTGATCTGGATCTCAATGGGGTTGGAGATCTATTTCTAAAACGTGCTCTATGATCTCGACTATCAGGACCATCTCTTAGCCTTGGTCGTATTGGAGATGTACTACGACTTCTGGTACGTCTACATATAAACAAACAAACAAAATCAAAAAAGATCTTTATTATTCTATTTTCACCAAAAATATTCTAAAAAGTAATCTTTATATTAGGTTGGGCAAAAGGTTATCCATCATTCTTACATTAAATTCAAGTCTTTTTTTAACATAATTCTGGTTGCCTGATTTTGGTCAAATATGCACCGTTTTGTTCATTAATTTGTAGCTGTTTTAAAGTTAGCTTCACAATGCCTGTCTCATTAAAGTCTTGGTCCCTATTTGCGACAAACTCTAGTGATCAATTTTTATAATCTTCTTTTAATGTCAATTTCTTATCAATAAGAAAGTGTTTTGCAGTGCAACAAAAAGATGGTAATCGCTTGGTGTAAGGTCTGGTCTATATGATGGATGCATCAAAACTTTCCAACCAACCTCCTGGACCTTCTGGGGAGTCACTATAGACATGTGTTACCTGGCGTTGTTCTGATAGAACACAATAACTCTCCTGTTGACCAATTCTGACCATTTCTGGTCAATCGCTAGCTTCAAACGGTCCAGTTGTTGACAGTAGAGATCCGAATTTAGTGTTTGGCTATATTTAAGCAACTCATAATAAATGATTCCTTTCCAGTCCCACCAAATGCACAGTAAAACCTTCCTGGCCGTTAGTCCTGATTTAGCCACCGTTTGAGCTACGTCATGGCGCTTTAACCACGATCGTTTTCCCACAATATTGTCGTATGTGATCCTTTTCTCATCCCCAGTCACCATTCGTTTAAGAAATGGATCAATTTCATTCCGTTTGGCCAAGGCTTCGCAGATGGAAATTCGATGCATCATGTTTTTTGGTGTTATTTGGTGTGGCACCCAAACACCGAGCTTCTTTTTGAATCCAGCTTTGCGCAAATCGTTTAAAACTGTTTTATAATCGATCTTTAGCTCTTGGGCGATGCTACGACTACTAATATGCCGGTCAACTTCGATTATTTCTGTGATTTTATCGACATTTTCGACGACGGGTCTGCCTGTGCGAGATGCATCTTTAACATCAAAAATACCTGAACGGAATCGATGAAATCAAAATAGCACGTAATTATCTGTTACAGTATTGAGAGTATAAACACCATTCACAATTTCAGCCGCCTGACTTGAATTTTCGTTTTTATAAAAAAGAAAGTGTGAAATGTACCGAATTTTCTCTTTGTTGACTTCCATTTTTAACACCTTGTAAGTCACAACTGAATAGACCAAAGAAAAAACGGTAAAGGAATTTTTTTTAGCTCTAAATGTCACCTTTCTAACAAGCATAAATTTGAAATTGTTTGATTGATATTTTGCGAGATATCGATCACTACAGCCATTTACCGAAAAAATAATGGATTACTTTGTCTCCAACCTAATATTATATATATATATAGTAATGTTATAAAGTTATTAAAAGTAATATACATATAAATAATAAATCATTTTAGCAAGAATCGTTCATGCAACCTTCTGTCATGTCGTCTAGCTGTGATAGGTGGAGATTCATTTCGCCACGGACGACTCCTATCACGTTCTCTGTCTCGACGAATATGTTCTCTACTTCTTGATCTGCGTCTATCTCTTTCCCAAGAACGAGATCGAGATCTTGTCCTTGATCTCATACGACCGCTCCTATAAACACATTTGGGGAAAAAACAAAGACAAAAATATATATTTTTATAAGATATTCTTACAATAATAAGTCTCTCCCAAAAAGAAAAACTAAAATTTAGATTTGCATTAAAGAAACATTTTTAAAAATATTTATTCTTCTAAAAATATATATTATTTCTTTTTTTACAATAAAAAAAAAAAAGATTTTCCATAATGACCTAATTACTTCTATGACTAAAAACTTCTGAAATCAAATTATATGATTACCTTTTTATGTAGTATAAATATAATACAATTATAACTTTTTTTAAATATACACTTTACTTACTGTTATAAAATAATCTTTTTCTATCTTTAAGAGCTTCATCAAATAACATTAATTAAATCAGACAGAAATTATAAATAAGAAAAATATTCTTCAATTTCTATTTACTGAGAATCATTTTGCTTAATCATACTTATAAGAATACTTAAAGATAGATCCTATGATTGAGAAGCAATTCGCATAAAATAAAATTCACAAATATGTGAAATAATGATATTCGAATATTAATTATTAGTTTTTAGACATGTGATTAGAAAAATTATTTAACAATGAATATTGTTAAAATTAAATGATATAAAATAGAGAGTTAGCAAAGATTAAATTTTCAAGTTTATAAAAATAAATTTAAATAGTTATTAAAGGTATAAATCGGTAAAATGATAATTTTGTTATTAATTTGAAATAACTGCATCATGTGTGTGTGTGTGTGTGTATAAACCATTATATCATATATAATAAATATGTTATACTTTATAATACATATGAATGTAATTATTATCAGATACGAAAAATCTTTTTTCATATATACATAAATATTGATTAATTCTATAAACACGGGATGAAATATTCGAATTTCACTATTAATTAGAAAAGTCATATGTATTATGACACATTATAAATTGATATTCATATTGTTTCAAAATTTAAACAAATAAATATTTAAAGAAAACACTTACCGACTACGAGAACGTTTTTCTTTCTCCTTATCACCCTTGTCAGAATCTGATTTTCTTGTTTCACGCTTGCAAATAGTTGAAGGTGTTGAACCATTAACTTGAAGTGGAACAATGGGATTAGGAATTACAGGAGCTAAAGAAATTGTTGCATCGGTAGTTTTTTCTGATGTTAATACTGGAGGCGGTGGATTCACACCTGGTGGAGTTCTACCTCCATCTGGATCTCCCTTTGAAGGTGGAAGTATGTATTCTTGAGTCTCCAAAGTTTTAAATAATAGCTCCACAAAATTTTTAGTTTCTATCATCACACACACAAAGTACACATATTAATTATATTAATTATTTATATTTATAAACATCAATTTATTGAAATTTCTAAATTATGTAAGTAAAGAAAATACCTTGTTGCAAAAATACATCAAGCTGTTCTACCATACAACCTCTTAACTCCTCTAAGGTTTTATCTTTCTTAACCAAGGCATATACATATTTTGCTAATGCAGCAGGATCTGCATCACAGCTGTAAACACGTGTATAATGATATATATTAATTTTTATACATTAATAATACAAAATATAAAGATAACTTTAAAAATGATCATATTACAACGTACATTCATGATTTTACATTATACTACGTATGTTTTGTTCAAGTCTTTTTTATTCCTTGCAAAGCTACGAAGCAAGAGTGCAATCACACTTTGCAGAGAAATTATTGTTTAAGGAAATAAAAATATAAAAAATATAATATATAGAAATGTGCTGAAAACTACATATAAAATATATACATGTCATCCATATATATATATATATATATATATATATATATATATATATACGTACGCACGCGCATACACACATGCGCGCGCGCACGGATATTATACATATATATGTATTTTATATATATTTTATATATAATATATATATATATATATATATATATATATATATATATATGTACATTAAATATTGCTAATGTGTATTAGTATTATTATACGATTAAAAGAAATTTATAAAAACAAAAGTATATATTTCGTAATATTACGATGTAAAAGTATATTATCTGATTAAAGAAAAGAAAAAAAAAATAGTTTAAGTAGGAATTAAAATTTTCGATAATCCTTTAATGAAAATGTTTCAATATGAAAAGAATGACATAATGATTGAATGAAGCATGAAAGAAAATGCATGACAGAATTGAAAATTATCATAAAGGCTATTTAATATAATCATTTTTATAGGAACTAAAAAACGACACATGTACGGCCATTTATGCATCTTATAGATATATCCGTCCGTACTCGCGCGCGCGCACACACTCATACAACATACATTCATGGATATACGAACAGACACAAATACGCAGCACACAAAACGTACTTGGACAAGCTGGCCTACTTACAGCGGCTCCAAAACGGCAGTAAGCCACGCTTTGAATTGATCTGGATTCTCTATTATCATTTTTAATAAAATCGCAATGAAAAATGCATAAAAGTCTTGAAACGCACTCGTTAATTAAACGCTTTCTGGGCGGGAATAAGCACTCTTCTATGTAAAGACAGTCGCCATTCTGAAATTTTATACCCAATATAATTTTCATGTAGATAGACAACCTTGTTCCAGTAAACATCACTAGAGACGCTACGAACCAATTGTGCGTATGCGCATACTACATATATATATATATATATATATATACATGCATACATATATATATATATAATATGTATATAATATATACGTACGATATTTTCTAGGAACGATAGGGGAACTAAAGATCACCAGAAAATCTTCAGAACTAGTAATATGACGACAGCGCCATCATCTCTAATCAATGTTTCACCGAGACAACAGATTTTCAATTATTATACTTTTTGGAGTTTTCTGAGTTTCTCAGTGCTTATTGTTCAAAGTCTTATTACTGTTATCCATTCGTTACATTTTCCCGTTATACTTTTATTATATTTTATTAATTATAAATATATAAATAACGTAAACTTTATTCAGTGACATATTGACGTTTCGTAACCACTTCGTCTCTTAAGTATACACTGACAAGTCGGTGCAATAGGAAACGAAAACCCTATACTCTCTCTACAAGTATATATATATATATATATATATATATATGTACATATATACATAATCAAGTGACGGAAGAAGGAAAAGTTACTCATTCCGGATATAAAACAGTTATTGTTGACGTCTCCGTTATGAATCTTTGATAATAGTATTTTGACATATCCAATTGTTAGAAATTATTATTGTAGTGGAAATATATGATTAAGCGAATTCAAGGATATTATTTGAAGAAAGGTTGTTAATAGTAACACGTGGTGTCAATCCGTCACATCTAGTTTCAAATACATCACACTCTTTTTCATTCATCCTGTGTAAAAATGGCGAATATAGAGATTGAACGAGCGAAGGTATTACAATCATAAAGATTTTAATTTAATTTCTTTTTTCTCTTAATCAAGAAAATAATGCTATATTTAAAAGTCATTTTTTTTATTACTAATAAAATGCGATAATTGTTTTAATGGTTGTATCCTTTTTGTATTGTACTCAATTGTATTTCTAATTATCATAATAATATTATATATACCCCATGACAGTATTAATTTATTTTAAAGCATAATTTTATTTAATCACTTTGTATTTATAATGCGTGCTTTTTTTCAGTTGGATTCTTCTATACGCAATTTAAAGCTCTCTGGTCATGTAGGTTTTGACAGTCTTCCTGATCAATTAGTAAATAAATCTGTTCAAAATGGATTTGAATTCAATATCCTTTGTATTGGTATGACATATTTTTGTATTTATAAGGAAATCAAAATTTACCTTCGTTTTTTTTTTTTTTTTAATTTATCGTTACCTGATGATATAGTGGATTATTATAAAATGAATAAAAAAATTTTTGCAGGTGAAACTGGCTTAGGTAAATCGACGCTTATGGATTCGTTGTTTAATACAAGCTTCGAATCTACTCCAAGTCCACATAATTTAGCATCTGTAAAATTGAAAGCGCATACATACGAATTACAAGAAAGTAATGTTAAACTGAAACTTACCATTGTCGATACAGTTGGATATGGGGATCAAATTAATAAGGAAGATAGCTTTAAGACAGTTGTTGATTACATAGATGCTCAATTTGAAGCATATTTACAGGAAGAACTGAAAATCAAACGCTCTTTGTCAACTTATCATGACAGTCGTATTCATGTTTGCCTTTACTTCATTTGTCCTACAGGTCATGGGTAAATATTTCCAAGAAAACAATATAACTTATGAAGTTTTGTTATTGTTATCCTGTTTTACAGTAATAATCCCTTCATTTACATGGATTCAATTTAATACGCATACGCTTGAACTACCAGAGAAGTCTGATCTTCTTATTACACGATGCGTTATATAAAAACACAAAAATTAGATGATTTTTTAAATATAATTTATATCTTAATCTTATAAACTTATTTTTCTACTTTAATAAAAGCTAAATATATATTTGAAAACGTGAAATAGATTAATGTTTTAAACGGCTTTTCATGGTTCCATTTATATACTACTCTTGTGGAACCAATTACCAGCGTAAATGAAGGGATTACTATATTTATATTATACTAGCAATTTTTATTTACCAACAACTGCTAATATCAATTATTACATAAGCAAGAAAGGTTAGACGGTTTTTTTTTATATATGTGATATCATTTTTATTTATCGATTAAACCAGTATAATCTTTATTAGTTATTTGATATTAATAAAAAGTATATTATGTATTATCATATATTCTTGATTACCTGATCTATTTAATAATATGTTTTTAGACTTAAGTCGATTGATCTTGTATGTATGAAAAAGCTGGATACGAAAGTTAATATTATACCGATCATCGCTAAAGCTGATACAATATCAAAGACTGAGTTGCAAAAATTCAAGGTACATAATTTCTAAATTTAATAATACTAATTAATATTATCATTTTATTTATATCATTTTCTTGCAGAGTAAAATAATCTCAGAATTACAAAATAATGGAGTTCATATATATCAATTTCCAACAGATGATGAAAGTGTGGCTGAGGTGAATTCTAGTATGAATGCTCATGTACCATTTGCAGTAGTCGGTAGCACTGATTTTGTACGAGTTGGAAACAAGATGATGCGATCACGTCAATATCCTTGGGGTACAGTTCAAGGTAAATAAATTGTTACAATGGAATATATCATTTTGATGCTTGGCATTATGTGAATGAATAATAAATTTATATTATATATATATATATATATATGTATAACACAGTGGAGAACGAATCTCATTGCGATTTTGTAAAGTTACGTGAGATGCTTATTAGAACAAATATGGAAGATATGCGAGAAAAAACACATTGTCGTCATTATGAATTGTATCGTAAGAGAAGATTAGAACAGGTGAACATTTTTATCTAATTCTATAAATATAATATTAAGTATAGCAATTAATACAGTGTTTTTTTAAACAAATTAATACTTATTTATGTAGGGGTTTACTTTAAAAATCTCATTCCTGAAAATCTATAGGTATTTATTCAGGAATAATAATTGTTACTATTATTATTATTATTATTATTATTATTGTTATTATTTAAAAAAATTACCTATTTAACAGATTTTGTTTAAAGAAATTTAACCCTTTTAGTGCCGAAGGACGATATATCGTTGCATATCCGATGACATCTTACTATTTGCATTACGAGAAAATTCATCTCATAATAAATTTATAAAATGTTATATAAATAGTCTAATTTCATTGCAAAAGAATTAAAAGAAAATTATTTTAAGGTTTCAATTTTTGTTATATTTTATGCTGGTTGGTGTCGAGACAGTGTATATGCTTGAGCGATAAGATAAAAACTCGGAATTAAAATTTGAAGTTAGATAGTTTCTTGGAATCGTTATCGCAATATGTCGATAGCTGTTAGAACAGAAAGTTTTATTGTCTATTTTATTGTTCTATTTTCCAATTATTGTTGGAACCAACGGGTCTTAAACATATGCCACGAAACAATTCAAAACCTTATAGATTATTTCAACCTATTTTGTACTCATAAATTGTTGGATAAATTAAAATTAAAACAGATCGCTAAAGTACCAGATAGATCAAAAACAATAGCTAGATAACAAAATATAAATATTTATAATAATATTTAAATTTTTTTTTTTTAGTCAAATTATTCTAGTTACACAAATCACTTGTTTCATAATAGATCCATCTAACGTTTGCTGTGCATCATGAAGTTATCCTTTAATTTTAAGGTCCAATATATTACTTATTTTATTATAAACGATTGAAATTGTAATATTTATACTTCATACTACATGATCTACATACGATAATGTTTTTTTTTTTTATGATGTTTTATTCTATGTTTAAATTTTGTAAATATGATTTTTAGTTAGATTTTGATGAACTTTTTCCTAAATCTTAGCAAATTTAAAAAAACGAATTAATTGCTACACCTAATAAATATTATTTCTAAATCCAAAATATATAACATTTAAACATGAAATAATGAAATGATCTATTTTAGATGGGATTCAGTGATGTTGATAGTGACAACAAACCTGTAAGTTTCCAACAAACTTGTGAAGCAAAGAGATCTATTCATTTACAAGAATTACAGCAAAAAGAAGATGAAATGAGACAAATGTTTGTTGCTAGAGTTAAAGAAAAAGAGGCTGAACTTAAAGAAGCTGAAAAAGAGGTAAACATTATTATCAAAACTTTTATCGTATTATATAATTATTTCTTATAATTTGTATAACATTTTTATTTTCATGTAAAAATTAATGTCAGCTCCATAATAAATTTGATAAATTAAAAAAAGATCATACGGAAGAAAAAAAGAAATTGGAAGAAAGTCGGAAAAAACTTGAAGATGATATTTTGGAATTTAATAGACGCAAAGCACAATTTGCTCAACAACCACAACATCATACGCTTACATTAGGGAAAAGTAAGAAAAAGTAATATATCTAAATGGACAAATATAATTCTTGTATAAGATTACATTAACAAAAATAGAACTATAATCAGGATAATATATTACAGTATTCATTTACAATTTAGACGCAATATCTATCCAAAGTATACAGATATACAATCTTTGTAAAAAAAAAAAAAAATAATAAAAAAAAAAATAAAGAAAAATAATCGCACAATATAATTTAAATTTTATTCTGTCATTATTGATAAACTCTAATGCATGAAAAAATTAACTTAGAAATAAATTTACTTCGTAACAATTGTAATTATTTTAGCAATTTTATTGTTAATTTTTAAAAATTAACATTTTTAAAAGAATTAAAAGATTTTTCAAGAAGTATATTGTAAACAAACCTATTTATATATATACTAGGGGTGCCCCGGCCATGCGTTGTTTGTTGACATCAAGCGAGATTGAATTATTTATTGATAATTGTATTAAATTTCATTAAAAAAATTATTTGATAGTTGGTGTTAGTACTTAACCTTTCTATTTTTAACATTAAAAGATAGATTAAACTATAAAATACTATTCAGTGATTGATTTATAAACATGGATAACCTCTCTATTTGGAACGTTTCAGTAATAATTTGGTAAGTAATGTTTTAATATTACTCTGAAAAATAGATAATCTGTTTAAATTATAAAAATACTGGATTTGTTTAGTAATATATATTAAATATATTGAATAACATATTACKAATAAAAGCTTAATAACTCTTATTTTTATTTTAAAACAGATGAAAAGTATGCCAGTAAAAAAGGAAGACAACAACAAAARATCAGTCGCTGCTAAAAGCAAAATGGTATTATATTCTTATTTTGAAACATTAATTATTTATGTTTATGTTATATAAATATGTAAATTAATTGTATATTTAAAAATAATAATTGTATCTTTTTTAGAAGTATGAAAGTGGAATAAAATCTGTTGACGAAGAGACCATTATGTCTTTGCTTGCWGAAAATCTATCTATATGAAAATCTATGAGGGCTCAAATAGAGAGAATAAGTGCAATTTTAAAAGAATATAAATCGTATTTAGCAGCTTCAGAATATTTAAGCAAATGCAATGTTTCATAATCATGAACTTAATTAAACATGGTAAAAATGGTATATATTTAAAAAAAAAAAAGTAATGAACTGCACATAGCATAAGTGAGTAGTTAGAATTGTACATTTGAAATAAAATAAATTTGTATCATTTATATGAATATATCTATATTTATTTATTCATTTGTTCCGTTGTAAAAATATTATAAAATTATAAATAATAAAATTAACATCCATTATTAACAATGCACAATATATGTGCAGCAAATGCATAAATTAAATGTTTGAAATTCGTCATTTCATAGTCGCAGATCCATATACTTTGGTATGACGTTTGCAGTTCTCATAATAATTTTTCACGCAATACTAACAAACATTGAAAAAATGTATAATTATTTTGTACTTAACACAGCAACAATTTGGAAAATCAATGTTGATTTTCTCAAATAATACTTTTAGTAAATCAAATGTATTTTTCAATATGTTTTCAGACAGAAATCACTAGTTGTCTACGACTATTACACGATTTCAATAAAATTTCTTCTTCATTCATTCACAAATAATTTAAAAAATTGCAAAAAATAACGATAAAACCTACAGACTAACACTCACTACATACGTTTTTTTGAAACTTCCGCTCACTCGAGGAGCAAAAATGGCGGATGAGAGTACTCATCTCTATAGTGCTCTATATGTACGATAATTTTACGCCGCTGTGTCGATCAGACGAACTAAAGTCTTTGGGATCACTGAATTGAAATTAATCATATCTAGTGTCCAAATATTATTGACAGTAATTGCATATAAATAACCTTTAAAATAGAGTAAGAAAATACATCATTAAAATTATTTATACTTCTGCATAACAGAAGTCATAATTCTGTCATTTTTGTAAACCAATTTTTTCTTAGACATTGAATACGATCGATTCATGTGTAATCCATATTTTATATGGCTTAACAGTTAATTATTATAAAATAGAAACATTATATATATATATAATGAATGTTGGATTCTTTACTTAAAAATTTGTAAAATACATATATGAACTATAAAAAATATATTTTGTAAGTTTAACTAAGATTATGGCTAGATTTCCATTTTCATCGTATCTATATGTGTATATGATAAAGCATTAAAATAATCCGAAAGATATTTCCAAAATGATATGTAAATATAAATTTATTAAAAAGTTAACAAAATTATTATATGCTTATGATAAATCTTAGTCTACTTTATTTATTTAATAAAAAAAAAAAAGTGAATTATGTATTGTAGGAAAAAAAAAGTTCAAATAAAAATATAAATATAATGAATGTGTGAATGAATGCAGGGACAATGCAGGGACAATGCAGGGACCATGCAGGGACCATGCAGGGACATATATGTGTATATATAGTAGCCATACAAAAAGCAAGGCGTTATAAAAGAATAGAGAAGAATATACAGTGGCGCCAACTACAAATCGAAATACGAATTATAATAGAGCTTCTAGAATCACGTGATTGTAGATTTAGTTACAGAAGACATGGCGGACAAAGAAGAGCATGAGAAGACCATCGCCGAAGACTTGGTTGTTACCAAGTATAAAATGGCAGGCGATATTGTTAATCGTAAGAAAACATCTTACCCTTCTTTCGAGAAGCTTAAAAATCACAAATGATTTTGGTGTATGTTGCCGTTTATGGTTACTTGGCTCAATTTTGGTATGGCCATATGGAACGTGGCGCGCCAATGCCGGGCTCTTACCATGTGGGACAGCTAGCATCAAATCTCATTTTAGTATTTTCTTAAAATATAGATTTCTGAAAATTTCACTAAATTCAAAGGATATATTTCTGATAAATATCATAATTATATCTTTTCGATTATTTTTCATTATTTTATGAGATTTGATGAAAGGGCCAGTATTAATATGAGATTTTCAAATGATATAAAATATTCTCAGGGATGCCCGCCGTTTTCTTTCACGCTTCCTATGTAATAAAAATTCATTGAAATATCTTTAGAAGACATTTCATTTATATTTAATATGTTTATCAATTTAGAATTATGTGAGAATATCTATACGCGAATAATATGGTTTTCCTTTTTTTTTTTTTCTTTTTTTTTTTTTTTTGATAAATAAATATCCAAACATATAACCATTATAAAAGGCAACAGAATAAAGAAAGAGAAATGTTGAACTTATTATTTCTTAGTAATTATTATAATTCTAATGAATAATATAATATATTTTCTATATATTGTGTAGGAGTTTTGAAACAAATATTAGACAGATGTGTTGTTGGAGCATCTGTGAGGGAGATATGTGAATATGGGGATACACTATTAACAGAAGAGACAAATAAAGTTTTTAAGAAGGAGAAAGAACTTAAGAAAGGAATTGCTTTTCCAACCTGCATATCAGTAAACAACTGTATTTGTCACTTTTCCCCAATCGCAAGTGAACCAGATCTAATTCTGAAAGATGAAGATATGGTTAAAGTGTAAGTGCATATTATTTATTTTAAGATAATTTGTAATTGCTTTACATAAGTATTAGTCAACACAATTTATAGGTGTGCTTGTCAATGAAAGCAGTTTATATCCGTGCACTTGGATAAATCCATTATTTACATAAATACCACTGTGTTAAGTACAGATGCCAGAGGCAGTCTAATGTCGTTAATAGTAAAGTAAAATAACGTTGGTCATTGTAATGTATAATTTTTAGTGATCTTGGAGCACACATTGATGGCTTTATAGCAGTTGTGGCACACACTGTAATTATAGGCTCTTCGACCGAACGCAAAGTTACAGGTAGAAAAGCTGATGCAGTTTTAGCTGCACATTACGCGTCTCAAGCTGCTTTAAGACTTTTAAAGCCTGGAACAGAGGTATGATTTGTTACAATTTACGCGTAACAAATACAATAATATACGAAAAATATTGTATTTTCGTGTAATCAAATGAACCTTCATTAATCTGATATCAAATATATTTATATTTATATTTATATTTTTTTTTTGTAGACGTACTCGATAACGGGTACAGTAGAAAAAATATGCGATGCATATAAATGTAAACCAATTGAAGGCATGTTAAGTCATCAATTAAAACAATTCAAGATAGACGGGGAAAAAACTATAATACAAAATCCAAACGATGCACAGAAAAAAGAACATGAAAAATTTACACTCGAGACTCATGAAGTAAGAGAAACTAATTGTGTATTTATTTTATAAAGAATTGATTATTTTTTTGGAATTTTGCAAATGTGACATTGTGAAAAAATGTAATGATGTTATATAAATCATTTGTTTCTAGGTGTATGCAATGGATGTTCTTGTTAGTACGGGTGAAGGTATAGGACGTGAACAAGATACTCGTGTTACTATATATAAAAAAACTGAAGAAACATATCAGCTAAAGCTGAAAGCATCTCGCATGTTCTATTCAGAAGTTTCCAACAAACATGGTCTTATGCCTTTTAATTTACGTACCTTTGAAGACGAAAAGAAAGCCAAAATGGCAGTTGTTGAATGTGTTAATCACAGGCTGATTGAACCATTCCAAGTAAGGATTTTATTTAATTCAATTGTTAAATATACAGTTAAAAATATATCAAATAACAAAATATATATTTGATTTAATATTATTTCAGGTGTTATATGAAAAACCAAATGAGTATGCAGCACAATTTAAGTTTACGGTATTATTGATGCCTAATGGGCCTCATAAAATTACTGGTATTCCTTTCGATTTGGACATTTATCAATCTGATTGTTTAGTAGAAGATCCTGAATTAAAGGTATTCAATATTAAAGCTATTTCCTATTTTTTTGTTCTTTCTTTCTTTCTTTTTTTTTTAGCTTTTCACTCTCTCTATTGCGAAATAAAATTATTTATCTACATTGAATAATATTAGTAATAATATAAAATGTTTTATCTACAAAATGTTTAACATTAATATTTATTTAATTTTATAACAAACAAACAAACAAACAAACAAACAAACAAAAAATCATTGTTTTACAGACTCTTTTATATACTTCTGCAAATCCTAAATCTGCAAAGAAAAAGAAAAAGAAGGCCGAAAAAGCTGTGGGAGAAGTAGCAATGGAAGTTGATACTAAGGCCTAACACAATGAAGTTATGCTCGCTATGATTTATTGTCATCAAGCACTATCCCTTTCATATTATCTAGCAGTATAAAGAGTAAAATCAGAAACTTTTCAAACAATATTGTATTTTAAATTTTATTTTTAACCATCAATGCCCACTTTTGACATAGTGTAGATCTTTACATTATTATTAAGCTTTTATTATTTTTATAACATTTTATTCAATCAAATCAAATTCAAGGTTAGCCAATACGTAAAAATGCTTATTATTTGAAAAGTGTCTAATTTTACTCTGTTGTAATAATGACACTTCATGCTATAATTCATTGACACTTACGTTTTTATACCAAAACGTCTTTCAATGACGCAGAGATTATAACTCTACAAAAACTGATAAATATTCTTAAGAAATTGTTACGGATATCTTACATTACATTATATCTTACATATAATACTTAAAACCAATGTCACTTTAATAACAATATGCAACTAATTTTTGTGGAACATCTCGTTTAATCAAGCCGAAGATAATTCGTATGTGTATATATATATATATACACAAGTCCTTATTAATATTCATAATTATTTAATTGCGAATATATTTTTTGTTACACATAGAGACATGCACGTATCACGCATTCATATATATGTTATATGTGTGTGTGCGTGTGTGTGGATGTGTACATATGTGTATATGCTCATAATATGCTATAAATATATTCATATATCGTCTTTAACTTTCTTTTACATATAGGGACAAAGTTTTTGATAAAGTTTATTAAAACGTAAACAATAACATCATCAAATTGCATTACTCTGATTAACAACTTCGGCTATTTTAATATCAGTCAATTTACGTTAATATTAACTAGTCACAAAAAGAAACAATTTTGTGTCACAATGGAAGTACAATAGGTAGAATTAAAGTTCACTTACTTTGATCAACATTTGTCTTCTATGTTATCTAATTTCATACGCTATCACTGATACTTAGAAATTGAAACTGTAAACACATTTGGCTTGAATTTGTAAAACTGAAAAATATGTCAATGCTAGGATTATGCATAAACCATGAAATATTAATAAGTCTAAAGTGTTTCGTTGCGCAAATTCTTCGATGGAAAGGCAATCATTCTATAACCTATTTTAAGCACCTTATTAAAATTTTATATCGGTAATTGAGAAGTACTTTACATACATCAACACACTTGCTTCTCTTGTTGTTTGCATTTAACAAAATGGAAAATGGATTTCTATCGTATGACATACTTGGAAAGTATTCGACTTATTGAGGTAATAAGAGCAAAATAATAATGTGTGTTAAAATAGTTTTATATAAAAAAAAAGAAAAGAAAAGAAAAGGATAGATGTGTCTGTTACAAATATTTTTTCTAAACAAATTGTGTGTATATGTCGAATGTTACAGAATGTCCTTATACGACGAGAGATATCATAATCTACTGTGTTTGTGCACTGTCCTTCCTTTGCTTTTAATCATATTTTAACATTTTACTTACCATTATATTAATAATAAAGGTATGTAAAATATGTTACAATCAATTACTTCATTATTTCGGTTTATAATCAAATATTCATTACATTTAATATGTTATATGATCAAAGAAATATCTACAATTGTAATATTTTTTTTTTGTTTTCATGCAAAAAAGGACAGTACACGATAAATGTTTACTAACGCGATCATAAAAAAAAATAAAAGGTATTATTATTTCGATTGAATTAATGGTTCCGCGATAGTTGTAACAAACAATGCATTATTTCTATAATTAATTTACAAATCAATGCCGTATAATAATCATTATTATAATACAGTTTTAACGCGCGAAAGGTCTTTTAATATTTATTTTCTTTTTTCTTTTTTTTTTTTTTTTTTTTTTTTTTTTTTCATTAAACACTTAAATATATAAGAACAATGAAAAATTTTCAAAACAATTTTACAATTAGATCATGACAAGTACTGCAATGATAACAAATGTTAGTTAAATATTTCTTCTTTTTCTATTTAACGATGTTATATGGAAGTGGGGATGGATTAAAGCATCATTAGAAAAATATAGGTGTTTTAATTTAAAATGATATTTTAATTCACATTCAAACAAACAAAAAATTGAATTAATCATCCATTTATTTCAATGAACTTTGTCAAATGTTGATTTTCGTAGATCACATTTATTGAATTTGCGATTTTTATTTATATCGACATTTCAAAATCAATCGTCTAACTTATCAGGGCATTTTTTTTTTTTTGATCAAAAGATTAAAAGATGATTTTTTAGGAATATTTTTGTTTGGAAAATTAGAAAACCTATTAGCATGTAATTTCTGTATTTTATTCATTGATTAGGTATATAATATTTTTTTTTATTGAAAAAATTCTTTTCTTTTTATGTTTGTTTTCTTTAATTTACAATGGCGTGTAAAAACAACGGTGAACACGATCATTTCTCTCTAGGATATCTGAAACAAAAAATCAAAAGGATTCTTAATTTCTCTGTATAAATGGCTGCTGCTGAATCAAGAAAAATTAATTTTTCAAACAAAACATTACATATATCGAATTTATTTAATTCGATGGCCATTTATACAAAGATTTACCATCTTTTGGATTTTTTTCTTTCAAATATGCTGGAAGTCATCGTACCCATTTTACCGTCATTTTTACGCGTCATTTTGAATTAAAAAAAAAAANAAAAAAAAATAGGAAAATAAAAGAATTTTTGTAAATAAAAAAAAAAAAATGATTATATATTATATGTAGCAATTAATTCGGTACCTTTTGAACAAAATTAATATTTATTTACTATTTTTTTGTTAAATAATCTGCATTATTTTCCATGACTTTGGTCCTTCTTTTAAACAACTACCGAATTCTTTGATGAAGAAAAAGATGGCGATTTTGATGGAATGAATTTAATATCAAGTCAACGAATTAATTGCTACAACTAATAGCGAAATACAATTTTAAAAAGTTATATATATAATAGTTTTCGTCATTTTCGAGAAAAGAAGATTCTTTACAAAATTAATTTTCGTTTTTTCAGTCAAAATGAATCTCCTGTTTATGCCTTAAACAGGAGATAAACAAAATTTGAAATAATATACAATTGTTTCACGAATTGAAACAACTATTATGGTTCAATGAAGAGAATTTAACACATTTATAGTATTTTTTGAATTTATTTCTGAAATATATATATATATATATATATATATATATATATATAAATATAAAAATCTTAATAATTAGATATTTTCGCGTCATCCTATGTGAATATGTTAATTCACTAGATGAATTAAACGTAAAAACTTCTATTAATACTTTGTCAAAGTATCAATATAGAATAAATAACATGTTTTAATTTGGAGTCATTACACCATGGATAATAATGAAGAAAAGTTTTCCATGATTATTATTACTTATATAGAAATATGCTGTTAATAAATATGTACATACATTGCAGAAGATAACGTATTACGAAATGTATGGTAGGTATTTCAAAGTGAGTGAAATAAGAGTACGATAAGTATTTAACCCTTTCAATACGACGAAAACATCAGGCCGAGTGCGCCCCATTACCGGGATCAGTTATTTCTCCTCCAAGCGATTTATTAGATCAAATTATTTTTATGCCTAAAAGGTCGAAAGTCTTGGAAACGCATAAACGTCCCCATAACAGCGTACCATCAACAACAATGATTTTACAAACTTCATTGATGGGATAGCATATGTCCCGCCGTAAACTCTAAAAGTATCTGAACCCTGGGACAAGGTATGTCTCGGTCGGAATCCTAGAGTCAATAGCACATTTTTCTTGACATTTTGATGATTATTTTAGGCAACGTTTTTTCATTAACATTTGCGTTAACATTTTAATTAACATTATAAACATTTATAAACATTTTTCAGAATTAACAGTTATAAGCAGTGTATAAGGAGCAACAGTATCTAAAGTCTGGGCTTCTTGAGGGTGTAGTAGGGCTGGAAATAGTTCTTGCACAGTGCTACGTTACAAGAGGTGCACACTATTTTTGACGTAAGAAATGAGAATTATCAACTGAGCAACCTTGATAGTTTTCGCTTGGTTGATTAGATCGGGAACAATTGAGATGAGAAATTTATGGACTCAGAATGATTGAGACGGCCTTAGAATTAGTTTGGAGGCCCAACTTGGCGTTATTATTTGTCCTAGATGTTTTTCAATAACTGGGACATATTTTGTCCTAGCCGTAATATCAACAATTTTTCAGACTGGGGTAGCACATGTCCCGTCCGGTGCGAAAGGGTTAAATAATATACATTTATTTAGAATAATATCATTTTAAACTTATCTTAGTGCGTGTCAAATAGTAAATGCACACACATTGAATTATTATTTAAGCTGTTCACACAAACTAAAACAATTAACTACATTTTTAGAAGTATTGTCAATTTTAATGCAGAAGAAACGCGACGCACTAAATTGATAATTGAAAATGAACATTTCATATTTAAAATAAATTTCCTTAATAATGAGTTTAACACCATTAAATAACAACATTTTGTATGGCTGTTGAACAATAAATGATATTACAATGTATGCAACTTTTCAATTTTCTCTATTTTTTGATTTTATAAAGTTCATTGATTTGGCAAATGGACAATGTGGCTAATATAATATTTAATATTAAACAATAATATATATCTCTTGAATTTCTTTAATACAGAAAATTTATTTAAATTATACATTAACCATTTTACAGGTAGCATTTTACAGTAACATCCATCGAAAATTTATTATTTTTTGTCAATTTCGTTAGATTTGTTTGCAAGAAAATTTAAAATTATACATTACGCTGACCTCTTAATACCAATTTGTTAAATCAGGTGAGTGTATCTATCAAAAAGCATTAAGCAAGAAAATAAATCTTGTCATTGTTTATCTTCAAATCTAAATAAATACAACACATAAATAAAAACACCAATAAAAAGACATTTTTTTTTTTTTTTTTGAAACAACAAACAATTTCTTAGGAAAAAAAATCAGATATAACTTATTACCTAATAAGATCAAAAAAGAACAAAATATTATATCAAAAAGACATTTCCAAAAATAATGGGAAGATACGTTTTATTTTTACAGTATATGCTTTGTATTTTATTTCTCTGATATCGTTTAAGCTCTATTATTTTGAATATATTTATAATGCAAAATCGTCAGTATTATTTAATGAATTAAAATGAAAATTTCAGTCGTATTAAAATTGCATTTGGTGTTGTAACATCAGCAACATTTATTTCATTGCCATCTTTTAATCCAAGTTCTATCAATGTTTTAGATAAATTCTCACGGGTTTTTTCTTCGATACTTGCAACTGTTTGCATGTATAAAGTTTTATTTTTACCATCAACATTAGCAGTAAGACCAGGACTTTTCATTTGTAAATCTGCTTTATTACATAACAATTCTATTAAATCTTTCAATTTGAATGTAGGATCTGTAATTACTATTTCCTTTGCTAACTGACTGCATGCCAGACAGTCCTGTTTCCTCTCTGCTTCATAGGTATAGGTATAAATTCCATCCACATCGTTAAGAACCTTATAAAAGAAAAATATTATGATTAATTAGTAATATCTTTTTCTTACTTTAATATGTTGAGCACGGAACTCTTATTTTGCTCTGCTTCTTGTTTAGGCAATCATTTAGCGAGATGTTCAGTTATAAAATATAAACATATATAATCAAATGGGAAATAATAAAAAATACACTGTCAATTCCCAGAGACTAAAATGCCGTATTTAACATGTTAAGCATGTACAAATGAATAGAAATGAATAGATCAAAATGCAATGTTATTTGATCAAATATAAATACCATGTAATTATTTAAAGATGCGCTACAACTGCTAGCAAGCTTAAATGCTTCTGTTGCACAGGTTGCAGCAATTGCTGCATTTGTAGATGCTACAGCAGGTATAATATTTTTTACAACACCTTGTACAAGTCTATATGTTAAACCTTGTATACTAAACTGAGCTGCCCGTTCACAAGATTTTTCATATATCCAATTGATATGTTGTGGATCATCGCCATCTATTACAGATTCAAATGGATTTTCTTTTGGCCATTGTATTACTTTAACATATTCTATACAGTGTTCTGGTAAACGTGGTGTATTGGCTATTGTACACAATGGGTATGTAATCTATAATAGTAAAAGGGAAGAATTTGTATTTTGTTAATTTTAAATATTAAAATTGAATGTTAATATTATGTGTGATTGATTACTTGTGGTGGATATAGATCTAATGTACACTCTATGCATGCTGATAATCCAGGTAATATAACTCTAGCATTTCCTTTAAAACCTTCGGTTCCTCCATCGATCATAGGTATAACACTTGAACAATCTAATTCACCATCTTCGTAAACTAAAAGTGATAACAGCATACCATTGATCCATCTTCTTGCAACAATAGAATCTAAACCGCAAATGACTATATGAAATTGTCTATAAAATGCTTCATCTTTCATTTGTATTTTACAACAGTGAGGTACTACGTTGCATCCAGAGATTCTTGAATTGATGTATTTAGCAGCTACTTCAGCTTTCGATAAGCCAATATCTTTGTGACGAAACAAAAATTGTCTGAAAATTCAAATGTTCAATTAAAGTTCAATTTTTGGCTTGTTAAAGTAAAGAATTTCAAAAGCAACATTATTACAATCTTTTGTATGTCGACATGATCTAATAGATGATTTAATAATAGAAAATATACCGATTAAGATTAGATAATTCAATAGTATCCATATCGATTACATGAATTTGTCTAAAGCCCATTAAGGCGAGATCTTTAAGTAATTCACAACCAAGACCACCAGCACCTATTACAAGTATTTTACAATTTTCCAGAAGAAATTGTAATGTTTCAGAAGAAGGTTCAAAATCAGGTCTACAAAAAGGTCCGGATCTTTCCAAAATTTTTCTTAAATTACTCCATCGTCTGTGTGTGTAGTCAGAACCCATTTTTATCAAAAAGATATATCTATATATGTATATATGTAAGAACTATTATTTTTAATCAACTTTCAAAATATCAATCATGTATCATCATAAGCCGATGAAAGAAATGATGTTATTATCGTTATACATATTTCATATGTGTATACGAATATATACATATATATATATATATATAATCAGTGATCCCAGAGACTTTAGTTCGTCTGATCGACACAGAGGCGTAAAATTATCGTACGCCCCGGGAAAATTTGAAATCCGACAATTTCTCGGACGAGATTTTCAAAATGTGGAAAAAGTGTCCAAGTTCCAACTTTTTCAAAGTTGATGACCTTTTTTTTTTACTCATCAAGTTCAAAACAATATCATAAAAACGATAAAAACGGCGGTCTACAGGGAGATAGACTTGTTCGTACAGAGATCGTACACGGATCGTGGTGGTGGAGGTGGTGCTGCACCTTTCCAAAATTTATGATCGATGGTCGATGGATCGATGATCTCCGAGAAGCGAGGAGATGATCCGGGATGTTCGTTACTAGGCCCGACCAATCAGATTCCCAGGCGCAATTACGCCGCGAGTTCTGACCAATCGGCCGCCTCTACATCACGGTTTGGTTACAAAGCCGAGGCAGAAAGTGTCGCTACAGAACTATTAACCTCTTAGGCACTACGCGCCACTAGGGACCCTACACTTTTGACAACTGCCGCGCCATCTAATAGTAGAAACTAATACTCCCTATAAATCTATATAATAAAATACAAGTATAAAGCGTCTTCTTTATTGTTTTTATATAAATAATTCTTTTTTTTTTTTTAACTTACTTTTATATAAATTTAAATTAAATTGGGCATAAAATGAATTAAAAATGAATTTAATTAATTAATTATCATTTTATATATATATATATATATATGTGTTAAAAAATATTAGTCATATATAATAAAATTTGATGTCAATCGAATATAAATTTAGTTATGTATTTATTCTTTCGCGTATATGTTTAGGTGAATGTAAAATGTATTAATATAATGAATCTATACATATTTAAAATATGTTTGCAAAGTTGAAACTTTTTAATCAAATAAAAGCTTTTCATTTTTATCGATTGTAGTTTATTTCGAAAGAATTGGTAGATTTTGTTCGTCTCCATGAAAATGACTTCTTTCAATTTTTCGTGTCAGTGTTATACAATTTCTATAGTTTCATATCTGTAGATATTTGAATTTTGTACATTCGGTATCATATCATGTCATGTAGAGTAAGATTGGTGAACATTATTATCTATTCGTTTCGCATTGAATAGGATTTTTTGATTAATTTTAACTTGATTAACTAAAGTACACAATTTTAAAAGGAAAATTGTGTTTCATTTTTCAGCGTACAATATCATCAAGTGGGAAATGAAACGATCCAACGAGATTTTGAATGAAAAATTGAATTTGGAAGATACGGATAGTGCATTAAACAACATGGTAGACGTCAGAGCCTGTTATAAGCCAAACGGAAAAGTAAGAATGAATTTGTATTATTTTACATTTTACAAATCTGCCATTAATTGTGATCACGAATTCGATGCATTCAAATATACACAAACAATAAACATTTAAATGTATGTCTTAAGAATGATTACAATTTTCTCTTAAATTAATTAATGATAATGGAATGAAATTAATTATATAATATATAATTAACATCAAAGAGAGAAATAATTACAATCATTTTCTAATTTGATTGAATAGTTTATTAATTTTGTGATATACAATGCCATGACATTTCTTCAATTTTGATATACATATTTTTATTTTGCCTTTTTATATATGCTTTGTCAGCATTACTTATTTATTTATTTTTGTTCTTGAAATGAATGTTTAATAAAATAAAACGTATTTTATGTACGTGTGCGGAATGTTTTGTCAATGCATGTGTGTTTCTGTTGTATGTCATATCAAATAATTTCAATTAGAATACTTTATGTATTCATATTGTTGTTTATGCATGATATATGTTTTGAAATGCACGTTTAACTTTTATGATAATATATCACTTATGATTTAACAAAAATGACAAGCATATAGGGAAAAGAATAAAAGAAATCAATTTGATAACAATTATATGATGTGATTCTGTGACTGTTACAAATTTTACGAGATAATGGACTTTTGTTGTTTTTTGATAACTTTTATATTAAAATCTGTATTCAAGAATGTGTGTGTTTGGTAATTATATAATGTGATCTATATGCTAACCAGTTTAATACTCGTTGCAGAAATTGTTCAAACTATTTTCTATAACCCTCTAAAACAAGCATTATAATGTCGTGTCATTAATTTTTCATTAAACTTATTTAATACATTAAATGCCAAGCCTATTTTGCTTGACATTTTGTTAATCTTGACATTTTGTTAATCTAATCGTCAAGCGTAGATGGTCATCTGTGATATATCACATTAATTATGATGTATAATGTCAGGTTGACTGTCAAATTCTTATTTACCCTTATATTCCTTTTTTTACCCCACAATGGTAAACAATGGTATACATACAATGGGTCTTAAGAGTATTCGTCGTACCTCCATTGTCTATTAAAAATAATTAATATTTTCTCGTAATACATATTTCAATATTCTTATCCTAAGAAACCTATATTAAAATTATTCAACTTTTAAATTGGTATAAATATTATTATAAAATAGCATTTTATTATAAGAAAAATAAAATTTTACATAATTGATAAAAAATGTATCCAATCGTAATCAAGTATTTCTTTAAAAAAAAATAATCATTATAATTTTATTATATCTTACGTAGGTACAAATATTTTTAGTAAGACCAATTAATTATTTTGTATCATTTAACAATAAGTAAAATTATATTTATTTAACACTAGATATACCACCATTTTCAGTATACCTATTTCTACCACACTGGTCAAAATGACTGGTGTATAAAAAAAAATGTTTAACAATAATAATTTTAATAGATAAATGGATTTATAGACATTTTTAAATAATAAAACGCTTAATTATTTACAGAAATCAAATGTTACATGAAGTAGAAATTTCCAATTGAAATGATCGGGCCCCGACCAGTCAAAATGATTGACTGGTCTGGTATATCTAGTATTAACAATAAAATGTCCTTCTGCGGTATAAAATTGATATTAATTTAAAAGTTGAATAATCTCAAATTAGTTTCTTTGAGAAAAGAAAGAATTTTGCAATTTTTGCATTATAAGTAAATATAAATTATTTGAAATTTATAGTAGGAGTAGGTACAACACATACATGTGTACTCATTTACACATATTACTCACTTATACTTACTTATATTATGTGTACATATTTATCCTCTACATATCTATTCTTAAAGAAATAAGATCATTAGTCGTTATATATAAAGATTATATAATTATCTATGATCTTTGGTATTTTTTTAATTTGCCATTAGATGGAACGTTGTTATTATTTTTATTATTATTATTATTATTATTTCTTTTATTTTATTGTTTTCTTTAGTAAATAACGCATGATCTCGCCATGGTAGCGGTGGTACAATATTTCTAAGAGGCCATTTAAGTATGTGGTCCCATTTGTCATTTTTCTATATATGGGTCCAGATTTGTTGATTTCTACAGTCTACTTTATGCCAAGGGTAATTGTTGAAGATCACCAATGTATATGTCCATTGGCAATTATTTTGGAAATATATTGACTTATCATCAAATATGATCAACAATGAGTGAGGTAAGTACTTTATTACCTTTCATGAATCCTTTTCTCATTTTCTTCTCCCTTTATCCTTCATTTTATTTCATAAACACTAGAAAGACCGAGACTTTGTATATACCTCTACTATTGCCCAAAGAAGTGAAAAATCACTGTATTATGAAAGAATATAACTAATGTGTACAGAAATTTATTTAAAATTAATTTTTAATACTTTTTTTTTTATATTATTTACACTTATAAAACGGATTATTAATAAATATATTATATAATTAAATATTATAATATATTTTTTATTATTTTTATTATTTATATTATATATATATTAAGTGGTAACACTTCTATAGAGCCTGAAAAAAAAGCCTTTTTTTGGGGAATATTTTTTGCAAAAACTAAATGAGGAATAGAATTTCTTTTTTGAGGGTTGGTTAATCATATATTGAACTATGTAAATAAATATTTTGATTGATTTTAGATAGAAAATGGCATAGTCGGTATTCGTGACTGAACAAAACCCTGTTTTTTTTTTACTAAAATGGGTGGACTCATACTTGGACAACTATGAGACCTAGAATAAAAAACAAAAAAAATTCTTAATCTATGTACTATTATCTTGAGAAGTACAGACGGATTTTTCCCTAAGTCAAATTTTAAGAAAATGGCGCAACTTTGAATAAAAAAATCGACCTTCCGACGAAACAAAATGTAAAAAATTGTTTATAAAATATCTGCCATAGTTTTAAAAATGTAGTTTAGAGAAAAACAACGCATTTAAAGTTTTATTATCACTATTCGAGGTGCTTTGAGGCGCTTCGTAAAAATAAGATTTCGCCATGTTAACCATTTTTTTTTTTGCTTCGGGACCATGTTCATAATATTTGTAGACGTTTAAAGTACACTTTAAGCTAAAAAACAAAATCTATTTTTTGAAAATTCTATAGTGGTGTTACCCCTTAAATTGTTATTATATATATATTTTGTTATAATATATATATATAAAATGATATAAATATTAACTATTATAGGGAAAATGTTATAAAATTCCTGACACTCATATATTTTTTCATTAATCGATCGATCAATTACTTGAAATATTTTTCTTTGATTAAATAATATTTGTTATTGTTTAATAAAAGTAAAGATATTTCTCTATCGTATACATATATATAGAAAAATACTATAATAAGATGTTATGTAAATAGTAGTAATACATTGAAAATATGAAATATTTATTTACCACCATATATAGTATACATTTTTTCTGCTTTATTTGTGACCATAGATATTTGTATTTTTCTTTTGCTTTTTTACAAATATTTTATATATAATACATATAAATACATTATTTCATTATTTATATAATGCTGCATTGATGTTTTGTAAGACTACAAGTTCTGATTATAAATGTTTAATTATATATATATATATATATATATAAATTTAGAGTTTATTATCATTGTGGTGTTATACGCTGATAAAGTATTCCAAAATTGCATGTGATTGTATGTTATTTGATGTAATAATTATGCATAATATAAATTTATTGCACTTTTATTATAATTCAAATAACTCGTTAAAATAAATCATTAATGTATTTGAATAATGAACATTTGGGTAATAACAATATTTATATGTATTATATTTTGTTGAATTATTATTGTTATTGTAGTCATGGTTTCGAGGTGTACGGAGCAGCAAATTCCGTCACGTTTATGGTATACCAGCAAAAAGAGAAAAATGTTATGACAACATCAAGATTACAAAAAATGCTCATGACTCACAATTTTGTGCTGTCAATCCAAAATTTTTAGCAGTTGTTACAGAAGTAGCAGGAGGTGGTGCTTTTCTTGTATTACCTCTCGATAGAGTAAGTTACATAATAACAAAATAATAATTATTTATTTAAATAACATTATTTTCATGAAAAAACATATCCAATATATAATTTTATCATTATAATATTATTTTAGACTGGACGTTTGGATTTCAATGCTAGTAGAGTTACTGGACATACAGGGCCTGTTTTGGATATTAAATGGAATCCATTCAATGATAATATCATTGCTTCTTGTTCAGACGATTGCACAGTATGGTTCAATTTATAGAACATAATTACTCTATTAAAATACAAATTTAAACTTTATTTACATATATAGAAAGTTCTAATGTTTTCAATAATAATTACAGATTAAATTATGGCATATACCAGATGGGGGGTTATCTAGAAACTTATCGGAATGGCTTATTGAATTACAAGGTCATAAACGTCGAGTATCATACATAGATTGGCATCCTGTAGCTGAAAATATCCTTTTTAGCATAGGTTTTGATCATCTTGTTATTGTTTGGGATGTCGGTAGAGGAGAAGCAGTCAACATTATTGACAGACATCCTGATGTAATATATAGTTTATCTTTAAATCGGGATGGAAGTTTATTAGCAACAACATGTAAAGATAAAAGATTACGTGTCTTCGAGCCTAGATCTGGCATTATAGTTTCGGTAAGTTTATACCAATTGATATAAAGTGATTCTTGGAATTGGAACAAGCTATTAGGTGATAGAAATGAAAGGATTAATAAAGAGCAGTAGAGCCTTTCTCAGTTCTAAAAATCATGCGTTGTATATTAAATGATTGGTTTCTTTCATGCTAAATGTCAATTAATAAGACTAGTAGTTTCTAATTTTCATAACTCTTTAATGTTACATATGTTGTAAATTTATGTTTCATTCAGGAAGGAATCTGTCATGCTGGAACCAAAGCAAGTAAAGTGGTATTTCTTGGTGGATCTGGACGTCTATTAACTACTGGATTTAGTAGACATTCAGATAGACAATACGCAATTTGGTGTCAACATGATTTAACAGCTCCTCTTACTCGTGAAACTATAGATTCATCGAGCGGTGTTATTTTCCCATATTTTGACAATGATACAAATATGGTCTATTTAGCAGGAAAGGTAATAAATGTATTAAGATAAATACATCCAAGAAGATAATATTGTTTTAATATTAATATACATATACAGATTGGAATAAAGAAAAGTTTCTTTTTACTTATTTTCAGGTATGATTTTCACTGTAGTAATTATTACTATAGTGAATATTTTTAAATAAAAATGTTGACATTTGTTCTTGGCAGGGTGATGGTAACATTCGATATTATGAGGTAGTTAATGAAGTTCCATGGATGCATTATCTCAGTCAATTCATCTCTGGTAATCCACAAAGAGGATTAGGAGTAATGCCAAAAAGAGGCATAAATACAAGTATTTGTGAGGTCTTTAGATTTTATAAATTACATGCAACTCGAGGCATGTGTGAACCAATTTCTATGATCGTACCTCGAAAGGTAACAAAATGAATAAACTCAATGACATATTATATACTATATTATTTTATATTTTCTACATATTGCTTATCGATGTGTAACAACCTATAATTACAAGTAATATATTTAAAAAAAAACAAAAAAAAAAACAAAAAAAAAACAAAAAAAAACAATCTTACTTGACATAAATTTGCATAATTTTCAGTAGAAAAGTTTAAATGGAAATGTTTTATTTTATAGAGCGATCAATTTCAAGAAGACTTATATCCTGATACTATAGGTACCTGTCCTGGACTTTCAGCAAGAGATTGGATTAGTGGTATGAATAATCCACCGATATTAATATCACTTAAAACAGGTATGGAATCATTTTAATGTAGATTTAAGTAGTTATTCATATATGATTACAATCTGTGTACGCGATAAAAGAATTATTATTATTCTTATTTTATCGTTACTCTTATAGGTGGCAGTATTTCAACGCACAAGCCACGCATTTACAAGCAACCATTAATACCTCCAGCAACAGATTTAAATAATAAGAAAAAATTTGCATTTTTATCTACTGAAACTGTTCCTGATTACAGACCGGTAGAATTGCACAATATAACAGAAAAAAGTCAAAAGACATCCAGCAATCAGAGCACCAAATTTCAACAATTACAACAGAAATTTGCCAATGCAAATTTACAAGTAAGAATTGATACGATAATAAATATTTCTTATTCAATTATCTTATTCATTTTTAAAAATTATGATTCACATTTGATAAAGCCAATTACAAGCACAACTATTTTTTTTTTAATAGAATAATATAATAGCGACATCGCTAAGCAATAATAAAGTTATGGAGACAATTGATGTTCCTCCTAACAACGAAGCAGAACTTAGATTGGCATATGTACGTCAAGCGGATGAATTAAGATTGATGCGTCGTCAACTTGCTAATAGTCGACTTCGAGTAAAGGAGTTAGAAGAACAAGTGTGGAAATTACAAAATCAGTAATGCTTGAAAATGCCTCTCAGTCAAAGAACTTTGTCAGTATCCTTTATATAAACTTTTTATACATTTCATGCAAATTGTTAAACCAAATAGTCTGCTATATTTGTGCTTTAAGAACAAAGTAATCTTCAATGTTTATGAATATCGAATGAAATTGCATGCATAAGTTCTTTTTTTTTTTTTTTTTTTTTACAATTTTGTATTGGTGGTTATATAAAATATGTGGGTATTTAAGTACATTATCATCAAAATTTATACAAATTGTGTATAAATTAACAAATTTCAAACATTTTCTTACTAATTGTTTTCAATACGTATATAAAGTTATTTCAAGTTTCAAATGTACAAACATAAAAAATTACAAGTTCAAAGTATTATATATATATATAAAATTAAAAAAAATATTTAAAAAAAAGAAAAAACAATATAATATGCATATAATCTTGCTACTTTTTTACTTGTCTACTATATAATATAGATTAATAGCAAAAAGAGAGTAGATACAGTACACGTACACATACACATAAACATACACATGTCATGTATGATCTATAATAATATGTTCTTAATATTTGTTGTATTGCTCGTTATAATAAAATAATATGCCAAAGAAAAATCTAACAAATTATTTATAATAAGAAAATATTTTTATGGTTGTGTGTGTGTGTGTGTGTGTGTGATTTAAGATGATTATACATTTAATAAAAATAAACTTTAAAATAATTGTCTTATTTAAAGTTTATCCACAAAAGAGAACGTTATCCAAAAAAAAAAAAAAAAAAGGAAATTCAGAAAAATTATCATGCATCAAATATATGACTAAAATATAACTTATTATAAAAGTAAATTATAGACGACGATGTATTGTCATAAGCATTGATATAAGAATATGATAGTTTCTATTAACGATGCTATTTTTGTTCTATCTGTAAAACAGGATGAACAAAAGAAGTGATATAACGTAAACGCTAATTGTAGACCTTAAAGAAGGTACAGAATTACATCCATCGCTGTCACAGGTATAGACGCATGTTCGATATGTTAGTTTATCTCCAGGCTGATTCACAGTGTGGCAGTAATTTCCCAAGTGTGAGGCTGAGCAAAATCTTTTTGTACCGATTCCACCTGGTAGAATATACATGAATACGCATATGTATACATAATTACACTTTTTTTTTTATTTTTTTTTTTTTTTTTTAATATAATAACTACTTATATTAAGTATTATGAAAAGTAGTGGTTGAATTACGATTAAATGAGAATTTGATCGATTATGGAAATATATCCTATATACATTTATAAACATAAATAATAAGTTAGTATTATTTTCATATATACTTTCAAATCTTTGCTAATCATGCATATAGATGAAAGAATATGATTACATACACACACACAATTAAATATATTTCTAATTTTTTCTATTCGGTAAAGCGAGTTTTGAGACACCCTGTATATCAATCATTACATATATAGGATGTTCTGTAACTAGTGATACAAGTGAAAAAGAAAGTGATTCTATATGAAAAATTAAGTTGAAAATGTAGAATAAAATTTGTTCGTAGATGGTTATGTGTTACCAGTAACCCTCCTATAACACGGTAGATAGGTTCCTAGAAAATGCCGTGTTATTTGAAACCATGTTGTATTAGACTTTTGTTTTCAGGCCATGGAGATGAAATACTTTTCGCAACACTGTATCTTTAAGACGGTAAGCTTCGCCGCGGCTGTAAAAGTACAGTGTTGTATAAAGGTTGTTTTGAAAGGAAACCGTGTTATAGGTGCCGTGTTGTAGGAGGGCAATTGTATATACTTTTTCGAGAAAAATAAGTTCGAGTACACGTGCAACCCTGGAAACTACAATAAAAGCATCATTTGATAAATGTACCATTATATTGACAATGTTTATAAAAATGCTACACAAATATACGAGAGTAAGATAGTAAAATCTATCGAGGCAAAACTTGACCAATTTTAATTAAATCTAGTTTTCTCAAAAACAAAGTCTTATTGTTAGATAAAAAATTTGTAATCTACATTTTCGATTTATTAGTTTTTCACGTCGAATCACCCTTTGCTCGCTTGTACCACACTAGTTACAGAACATCCTGTATATTAAACTTAATTCTTGAATAAAACAGAAATTATAGCTAAAATATCAATATACACATAGTATGCTTAATTTATAAACGAATAAACGAACGATCATGCACATACAACATCGAATAATTTAACGAAATAAACCACGAATAAAGACCTCCATATCGTCCAACAGTCTTGACGCAATAATGCGCTTCATAAACGTGACTGCAGTTTATCGGTTGTAGAGAATTTGTAATTAATTCACCATTGGAGCATTGCCATTTGTCCGCGGATGTACATTGGTAACATTCCAGGGCTACAATTTGATTGATTTAAGTTATTTTCATTGATCACCGCTGTTATTGACACCGTATGACAATGAACAACAATAGACAATTTTTCATCAGATTTCAGTAACCCAGATACAATCTCCTATTTATCTATCATTTATTTAGCGTAATAATCCAAATAATAATTAATTAGAAAAGAAATGATGACATTGTTAGTGATTAGTATTAATATGAAATAACCAGTTTTTGTACCTTCCACCAGTAGTATAGCATGCTATGCCGTATATTAATACCCCCATTAGGCACTAATATTTGAAAATTGAAAAGATTTGTCGTCGTTTGGTTTATTTTACCCTCGAATCGGCCAATGTGTTTCACACAGTACTGTGCTCCGAAAATGTCGTCGCAAGACTCTGGTTCTATGTCAATGTCACTTGTGAGAAATTCGTTGCATTGAAAAGGATGTGTGTTGTCCGTGCTGGTGCATTGGTAACATCGAATACTGTGGACTAAATAATATGAACAATAAATAAAAGATAGTTTTAGATAATTTTGCAAGCGACACAAAAAGTGAAAGCTTTTCAGAGGAGATAACTATCGATTTATCAAAAACAAATTTGAAGGAAACGACAGGGGAAACTTAAGAGGGGAACTTCACTTCAATCGCACTTTTCTTTTTTCATTATTATTTTTGGTTCAAATATAATCTATTAAAAGACCACAAATTCCAAAATTCTTATACACAGAAACTCATTTAGAATTATTCCATTTTCGAATTGATATAAATTTTGTTGCAAGAAATATTTCATTTAGACTCTATTTTTATATAACAACACTGTAACTACAGATTCATATCTTAAAACGAACAATAAAATATTGTAATTATATTAATGAACCATTACGATTCTGTTTGTACAGAATATTGGCAGATATATTTTCAAAAAATACGTCTAAAAAGACAATGGGAATCGAGGGGGAAAGAATGGGGAAATTGAGTCGACCGTGCAAGATCAAAATAAATAAATCGTGTGAAAAGAAAATGATGTGTGAAAAGAAATGTTCTTTCCAATTTATGTTAAATTAAAATCATTTAACATGTTCTGTGCCAAGCCTTTTTTACCTGACTTGTCACTCAGGCCATTTAATTTTGCTTTACAAAAATCAACCATTACACATGTAATTATTAATTATTGTAAATATAACAATTAAAGATAAATATAAATATAACAATGGCGCCTTGGAAATTTTTTTACCTTCCTAAGATTTCATGTTTTACAAGATGGTGAAAAAAACATTTTCGTTTAAACTTGAAAAATACAGAAAAAAAATTATTTATTTATCGACTGTGAGAGTTTCTCTCATCGCGTAAGTAAAGTCAGGCACAAAAAAAACCTCTATTCGGATATTTCCGTTTTATTTCGGCTGTCTCCGTAGTTTCTAGCCCTATCTTTAATATATAAATATAGATATACGAATATCTAGTATTTTAAAAGTTGTGTTTATAAGTGTACCAGTATTTTTCAATGATAATGACATATTTATTACGTCCTCGTCCCAAAGTAGATAATTTTTAATTTAATAATATTAATATTTAATATATATTATTTAAAAAAATAATATATTTGATATTGTATTGTACTTTATATATAACCTACAATTATTTTCGTAGAATTTAAATTTCGCTCTTGGCGCATGCGCAATAGGCGTGAGAGTTTCTCTCATCACGATAGTAAAGACTGTGGTACGGGAGACGTATGTTCTGAAGTCTTAAAGCAAAATAAAACAAATTGAATGACTTTAATGATCATATTATTTCAATTATTTATCCTCGAGATAATTTATAGATTTAACAATAATTAAAATATATCAGGTTACACACTCGTATTCAAATATTAACAACAAAGGAAAGTCCTGTAACCTTGGACGGCACCTAGTGTCGGACACTCGTATTATCTCGACAAATGACAACAACATGAACAATTAAAATCTTATTGAAAGAGGTACGGGGGAGGGGGGAGACGTAGCGATACAACACGATGCAATTTTTCAGTGATGCTCAAAGCAACATCGGGAATGGTCGATTTTTGTTTTATGCGAAATAATACTACGTCAAGTAAGATTTAGATTAATTGTATAAGCAAGATATTACATTAATTAAACAATTCTATTTAAAGGATGAGACACCCGGTATATATAATTGTATTAACATGCTGTGATTATATACATATATATATATATATATATATATATATATATATATATATATATATATATATATATATATATATATATATATTCTGAATTGTAACGTCATAATATTTTTTAGTATTTTTTAAATTCTTTGGAAATAAAAAAAACATTTATTAGATAAAAGCTACGCGACCACCATACTTACACACATGCACGAGCACTGTATGTATACAAATACAAGAGTATACTTACATTCGTATTTACCAAAACTTCTTTGCGAATTGTTTTAGATAATTATAAAAATAACATGATATAATACATATAAAAATCACATTCAATAGAAGATAAATAAAATAATTATAAATAAAAACAAATTATCTATGTAAATTATATATGTGTATAAATTATTATATGTAAAACTTTAATTTTTAAATGCACAAAATTATGCTTTAATTGTATACTTAAATTGTATTCTTCTAACATATACAAGTTGAATGCATAACTGCACCTGTTAAGATTTCCTTAGTATAGAAATATTTGAAATGAAAATAAAATAATGATTAATTGAATTTCTGGAAAAATACCAAAACCCACTTAAGCCTATGAAGAAATCTGTTAAAATTATGCCTCGCCCATATATTGCCTTGATTTTGATAAATTTTCATCTCTGAAAAATATTTGTATATATTGGATTATTTATCTTACCTGTTCCGATGTATAGTAAACAAATCACGAGTATCGTTAATATCTTCGTAATATATTTAATAGCCATTTCAATACGATTTTATCTTATATTTGACACTATTGAATAACGCATAGACAGCCTCACAGGCTGCCTCACGAGTATTACTAACTATAATGATACACGAATCATTTTATTGGTTTATTATCCGACTAAAACCGAATTTAGTCGAATGTTGCCGATCTGCTTTGATGACGCATGAAAACTATCGTTGAATAGAAAACGACTTTTCAATATACATATACATAATTGAATTTTTTGAAATTTATCGTAATGTTACTATTTCATTAGCACAATGCAACATTATTCTCATAATTCCTTATTATTAACCTCTTAAGCACTATACGCCACTGTAGTAACTTCCGTGAAAAATATCAATTTGAATGGTGACTATTATAGTGACATCCGTGGATAACTTGATTTTAGAAAATAAATGTTTTTTACTTTTTTCTCATATTATTCGATGTTATATGAAAATGTATAACGAAATTATAATTTATTCATTTTGAAGTATATTTCCACATAATCCATTTCCAAACTAATTGTAAGATGTGTTAAATTGTGGAGAACTACTGAAGGACTTATTAAAAGGACATTCATTTCTTTGATTGAAGAATATTTATAGTGACATTAATCAATTTATTGAAGTATATTGCGCAAGTAACAGCGTCTAAATTAATGAGAGTAATTTTCACCATGAAGTGTAATTTTGTTACTGCCTCTTTCGTAATATAAACCTGTTTATTCCATTTGTACAATAGTTATGACAAATCAGATCACCCGATTTCATTAGCACTTATTATGAAAAATACAGTCGGTTTATCTAATTGTCTAATCATAGTAAATAGATTTTTTTTTTCTTTCAAACCATTACTAAGTAGAATTAGGTATTAAAAATAAAAAAAGCGAGATTACTTTAGATGCAACTATGAATATACGTTTAGTTCTCCGATAATATTTTCTCTCTAATAATGTTGACATTTTTTCCTACATATTTAAAAGCAATTTGGAAAGAAGTATTTATTCTCGTCCTCATGATTCTTATTGCCTTGTATAATAAGTAATTAGGTGTTACTCCTCGATTATTGGTCCGTATCAATTTACTGGTTGCAATCATAAATGATGTAAAACTAACTCCTTTTTGAAACTAACGAATTTGTCAAGTAATAAACTTATTGCTACGGATTACGGATTGATTACTGTTAAATATATTGGGTTGGCAAGAAAGTAATTTCAGTAATAAGTAAATATACATATATTACACTAGAAAAAAACCGAAATTACTTTCTTGCCAACCCAATAGATCGTCATTCCACAATAGTATTTATTGTTGAGTTAACAAACTCCCTTCAATAGATATATCCTCAGTAAATTCATTGTATTAATTGCAATTATCGAAAAACTGTTCATTTATGGTAATATCATGTTTTATAAAGTGCAGTATTTACCAAATAATGCAACCATTCTTCAATAGTTCTTTTATTAATCAATCTATATGAAAAACTCGATTTGTGGATTTTTGTTCGTTTGATGTGTGCATAGATGCAATAATCATTGTTAATATTTCTGGGCAAGAAATGACCATCATGTTAACCTTCACAGAAACATTAATAACTTATCCATAAATTTCATATTAGGCATAAACATGTTGAAGTCTTGTTATTTGTATAAAAGGAATTCAGGGAAAAATTAGATATTAAATCAGTGGATAATTTATTAAATTATTTAAAGAGCAACATTCAAATATTTATACATACACGTTATTGATACTACTAAACCAAGAGATTCAACGATAAAACTAAACACTGCAGGACGTTGTAGAACGCAGCAAGACACTGCAGCGATGCACAACTGTTTGTTGTTTTCACTTGCTCGGCTAACCTCCGCTCTCCCGAGTTTACTTGAGTGAGTGTTTTTCAACGGAACGTTAAATTTATTCATTGGCCAGCAAAAAGTGCGTAAGCAGTGCGCTTAAAGAAGTTATAACTTCAATAAATCATAACATTAATTAATTTAGTTAATTATTTGACTTACATCATTGCGCATCATGCGCATATACATATATATATATATATTAGGTAATATATGATTAGAAAATTAATTTTCGCAAGAGCTACTAGAGGCGCTATAATCAAAAAAGTATAAGAGACCTCTGTGAAGACAATGGTAACTAAATGCAGGCCGTCCCGTTAAGACGGAGGCTTGCGTACCCTGATTACATGTAACCTTTCATCAGCCGTCATCGGCAAAAAGCAAGTACGTCAGTAAGCAGAGGAAAGATGGCTACGAATGTTGCTCCTGAATGTCAGTATTTTTACGAGGATGTCATTTATCGCGTGGACAAAAAAGGCAACGTCGTTTTCGGTATCATCATGGAAAACGATGATCAGGATATGTCCGACGAGAGCTCGGATGGAGAGGAAAGTCCTAAAAGAAAAAAGGGTGAGATCCGTGTTGTCTGGCATCCGTCTGGAGATGAAGAATTAATAAATTCTAAAAAGGTGTGCAAATTGATCGATCTGGGATAACGTATTTTACGAACAAATCTAACATTAATATTAACGTTTCTTATCGTTTTTGTCAAAATCACGTTGAGCATTTGTATAGTTGCCAAAAACGACATCTTTTGGTTCATATTATAATATATCATTCTGACAACTGGAATTATATATTCAAATTTAAATTAACGATATATTTTCAAAGATTTTCTAATATCAACAAATGGTTATAATTAAAATCTTATTTTTTGATTTATGACAAGCTCATATATAATATACATCTCGTTTTCGATATGATCGATATTATTTACAATGTATCTCGTATTTAGGTGCATTTAGCTGATAGGACATTAATGCCAGGTGATGTTGTGCGTCGTATGATTAAAGGAAAAGATACGCAAAGAGGATATTGTAGAGATATCGAGCTTACTGCGTGCATCCAAATTATCGGCACTAAGCAAGTTCTTACCAATATTAGGAGCGAAGATTTAGTTCCTTTAGAAGTATGCAGTGTCATTTATTGAATGATATATTTTTAATAATTATTTCATTATATTACTCATTGTTATGTATTTAAAGGAATTTGCTACAGAAATTGCAGTTTGTATGGATTCGTGGGTAGGTGGAATTAAAATGACACATTTCAAAGTTTGGGTAGCTACACCTGATGGATCTCGTTGTGTTATCAATGAAATGGATTCACGTGCATTAGGACAACTAGAAGAAAAACGGGATAATGTATGAAAATGGAATATTGCTAACGATTAAATCACTCATATGCCAAATCGATTAACTTTACAAAAGAACAAGTAGACAAATAACACCAATAATGGTGTTAAGTCTATTTATTAAAAGGACTTTTATTATAAATACAAAAAGTTAAATATTAATGAAATATTTGAATAGTAACATTGTACACAAAATTCTAAAACTGGTGTTAATCAATTTGGCCTATCATTAAGTCGAGTCATTGTCCAATTACGTATTTATAAGTTTATACAAAATATTATTTATTTTAGGACAACGATTTTCCTCATTCTACTGAATTTTATCCTGGTCAAAGTTTATGGGGTCCTATTCACTGCCTTGAACAAGCACAATGGATTCATTGTACGAAAGAAATGAAAGTAAAAAGAAAAACAAAACCATTGAAAATAACCAAAGTAATCGTAGAGAAAGTTGAAACAGATTGGGTAGGAGTCCAATGGCAATGTAGAGCATATTCAAAAGATGGAGCTTGGTCTGATCAAGCTCAACCTAAATTTGTAGTCGAAGGAGAGGATTTAAAAAAGTTAAAGTTACTTAATGTCTTTGAACCATCTACATTACAAGTTGGTGATCGTAATTATTATGTAATTAAGGGCAATGAAAATGTTATAACTCGAGAACAATGGAAAAAACAACAAAGAGATATTTTTCAAGTTCCTAAGCATAGCCCAAAAAAAATACGTCCCAATATTAATATCACAAAACCAGCTGATGATAAAACAACGAATGATAAAAAAGTTGAAGAGAGAAAAAAGGGAAAAGAAAAAGAAAATGTGAGTGAAGAATCCGTAGAAGATAGTACACAAAACAATATTAATAATTTACAAAATATTACAAGTAGTAATACATTAATGCCACCTCCACAAGTACAAAATACTGAAAGTTCAGATGATTGGGATACAGAAGATACTGGTTCTCAAAGTGACACTGGTTCGGTATGGATTTAATTAATAGAAAAAACGAAAAAAATTGAATTTGAATCACATAAACTGAATTTTATCATTTTTTTTTTTTTTTTAGATATCTAGTGGATGTTCCAGTATGTCATCTATGGGTAAAAAGAAAAAAGGTCCTGCATTAATGACAAAAGTATTGAAAAAGAAGAAACTATGCAAAGCCAAAAAAAAAGTACCACCAGCTCCATTAATTCCAGGAACCAAGATAGTTGTGGAAACACTCTCCACCAATACAAAAGCTAATGTTGTGTGGCAAGATGGTTCTGTAGAATTTGGTACGTAAATCAAATTTAAGATTAAAAATAGCTTTGTCAATATATATATATATATATATATATATAATAATAATTTATATTTCTATAGGTATTCCATCAACACAGTTATATCCGATTCATCATTTGGACGATAAAGAATTTTTCCCAGGTGATTTTGTTTTAGATCAAAAAGAAGAATCTCGAATGTATGGTGTTGTACAAAGTGTTGATCATCAAGGTCGAACCGCTAAAATAAAATGGTTTAGAACATATACTTGTAGTCAAACTCCACAGTAAGTATTTTTATCTTTTTCTAACCAATTCTACAGACAAAAATTGATATCACAAGTATGATATCACACTTTTATACATTTGTGTTTAATAATTGAAACTTATTAATGTTAAATTTGTTTTATAGACCAACTTTATTAGAAGAACGTGAAGTAAGTGTTTATGATTTGAAGGATCATCCTGATTTTCAATATAGACCCGGTACAGTGGTAATACGTATAGCTAATTTTGAAGGAGAAGACGCAGGATGTACTGCTGGACAAGTATTGGATAATTATCCAGAAGGTCGTGTTAAAGTATGGTGGGTCGATGGACATATTAGTATGTGCTGGCCACAAGATTTATACAAAGTTGGTGAATATGACAGTGATGAAGGAGAACTTTGGGATGATGTATCATCAGATGCTTCATGGGAAACTGAGTTAGAAGATTGTTTCATTGCTGATACTGATACAACAGAGCAAACCGAGCTAGAAATTATAAAACCAAAGTTAGCTGCACACATTGAAAAAGCTAGAATCGCAATGTCGAGATTAGAAGAACTTTTTACACAAAATCCGTCATTGCAAACTACAGAAGTAATGCGAAAATTGCTGGAAGTTTATAAAGACTGTCGATATATGGATAAACTTATGGGTACATCATTTTTCCATGAAAGTCATTTTCAAGGATTACTCGAACGTGTAAGAGAACGTGGAAGAGCAAATGTAGCACAACGAATGGCAGATCAAGTAACAAGACTGTTTACTCAAAAATCTGATGGATCAGAAGAAGAAAATGTAAGTAAAGACAATCCAAATATTACTCAAAATACTCCTTGTACTATAGAAAGAATAGTAACTAATGTAATGGACGTAGCGACAACAGCTAGCAATAAAAATAATGAAGATGATAATAATAAAAAACAGAACAAAGAGGAAGCAGAATCAAATAATCGATTGTTGATTAATGTCAATCCCTATCCTGAAGATTCTGGATTATATTCTGCTGAGAACTCGAAAAAAGAATCGGGTTCTAGTGACTCTAGTGGAGAATTTTTACTTAGTGAGGATGTTAATAACGAACGTTTACCAGCCGCATTGGCAACCGAATCAGTAAAAGCAGCAGAAATAGATAAAAGTTCAAAAATGCAAACGCACGAAGCAAATTCTCATATTGCTAGTTCACACGTTTGTGTAAAACTTTGTACCCTTATAAAAGCTCAATTAGTATTGGCGCATTCAGAAGTTTCAAAGCGCTTTGGTTTATCAAAAATATCATTATCAGATGCGGCAAAAGGTTCATCGCCTCATAAAAAACAAAAGAAAGAAGAAGAAAAACAGATAGAAAAATTGTCAGAACCACTCGAATCTATAGTAGATATCCCACTATTAATTTATGCAGAAGGTGAAGGATTCTCCATAGAAGAGACTGCTCCGGATAGTCATAAATTCAAATTAACAATGTTCCAACCTACAGATCCAAGTAATTTCTTTAGAACGGTTTCGAAAGAATTGAAACTTTTAAAAAGTTCCCTTCCACCGGGAGTGTGGGTAAAAGGTTTCGAAGATCGTATAGATTTATATTCTGTGATGTTCCGTGGTCCTGAAAAAACACCATACGAGGACGGACTTTTTCTTTTCGACTTTCAATTGTCTGCAGACTATCCTGCTGCTCCCCCGCTATGTCATTATATTTCTTATTGTAGTGAAAGACTTAACCCCAATCTTTATGAAGATGGGAAAGTATGTGTGAGTCTTCTTGGAACATGGTCTGGCCGTGGAACAGAAGTATGGACTAGTTCTTCTACTTTACTTCAAGTTATAGTTTCTATACAAGGTCTTATTCTTGTATCAGAACCTTACTTCAATGAAGCTGGTTTTGAAAAACAAAAGGGTTCTCAACAAGGCAGAGAAAACTCTAGAATGTATAATGAAATGGTAGTATTAAAATTGGTTCAAGCTCAGACTAAATTATTGTTACATCCACCTCTTGTGTTTAAAGACATAATTATAGCACATTTCAAACGACATGCAGAAAGATTATTACAACGATTAGATCTTTGGATGGAGATATCTGAACAACATAATAATCAACATCCATTATCTCCAGTTACACCAACCACATTTAAGGAAATTTCAGAAATTGGTAAATTCTAATCTGTTTCTTTTTTTATTCTTTGTATTATTTTATTTTTGGACCTAATAACATTTATTTACCATATACATTGATTTTTATTCTTTCAGATGACAAAATTCTGCCTGAATTTCCTTTGATACCGGCTTCAAGAGGTTTTTGTATCACACTTAGAAAAACATTGGCAACATTTAAAGATGTACTTATTAAAGAAAGTATACTACAAAAGACAAGCAATTTACCAAATTATACAAGAGAAACAATAAATAATACTATTCAAGAACATCAAAACATAAGGACAAATATAGAAAACAAAGAATCGGAAAACGATACCAGCAGGAGCTGTGTACAAGCTCAAGATAGTAAATCATTATCAAATGGCAATTTAAGAAAGGACTTAATTTCATCTTCCCCTGCAATCCCTCCAAGTGAAAGGAAAAAAAATTCATCAGAAAGAAGTACTAGCTAGCCACAAGGTAAACTTATATCCAAATTCAAGCGCATAATTTGCGAAAATTATACGAAATTTCGGTAATATATTGAATTAATTTATTAAATTAGATCCTACAAAATGTTTATGATATCTATTTATTAATATTAACATTAATAATGAGATAACTCTTAACAAAAATGCCGCTGTCATTGCTCCGCAGCTAGGATATTGATATTGTTTAGTAATCATTTAGTATAATACAACTGTAATTGTATAAGGGACATATATATAAAAAAAAAAAGTGATATGCTATTCTTGTGCAGTCCTTTGTACAATTACAAAAATAAAATATAAAATAAATATGTGGTATAAACCATTTCGTGATACACCGGCACCACATATATATATATATATATATATATATTTAGTTCTATAAATCGGCGGCAATAAACAGCTGCATTATTAAACAGAGAAAAAGATTTGTAAAAGATATCTTGAGTATACAATAATACTTCAATAAATAATAATTCAATATATTGGATGTTCGAAATGATAATAAATAAAAGATATACTAATCTTTAGCAATACGTCGAGCCAACATGAAATACTTTGCAATAGCATTAAGAGATATATGATAATAATAGTTGTTAATTACGAGTGAATTTCATTGAGTAAATTTTTAGTAAAAATTCCTATCTATTTAAGAATAAATCATTTATTAAATTATATTAAAGTCATTATGCCATCCACTAATGTTACATTGAAGAAACTATGAAGTAACTCTAACTGCAGTCAGTAGATAGTAGTTTAGAGACAACAATTCATATTTAAACAAAATTAACTGACAGATAAGTATAATGTTAAAGATTCTGGTAGAAAATAGTCTATATGTAATAAAAATTACAACGCTTCATTATTCATTATACAAGTCTCATTATTAATATAATTGTGTTTTGCATATTGATGGAAAACAAATATTTAATTTTTGTTTAAATGAATTTTTACAAAATATATTGCACAGCTCATAAAGCAATTATTTATATTAAATGTTTAAGTTATATATATGATATATATGTTATCGTTAAAACGTCAAATCTGCTATTTCATAGAATAACTAGGTTTTCGTGAAATATCCAAAATATCCGCTAAACTATGAAATAAGCTAAAATTGTATACTTTAACTAATTATTCTATACAATAATCAGATTCCATTAGTTAAACATGAAATAAAAAATTTGATGTCAAATATTAGAAAATTATTCTTAGATTTTTTTTTTTTTTTTTTTAAATATATTTACGGTACTCACCGTAATACAGTGAATACTCATTCACACATACCGTATTTTAAAGCGTTGTTATGTGTATAATTATTTAAAAAAAAAAAAAAACATACTTAATTTTATTTTTTGCATAATATTTTAAATATTTTAAAAGTTAGGATTGATTTTTTAAAAAAGATACAAAACGAATTGAAAAATATCCATGTATGTTTAATTAAACTGAATAGTTGTATTGTTATAAAGTAGAATTTGAATATTTTTAAAAATAAAACAAATGTTTATAGAGTACATTTTTATAAGCTTTCGTTTAACTTTATGGCCATATAAATCATAGTCAAACATATATGAATACATTTGTATGTTAAAAACTGGCTATGTTTTGCAATATTATCAAATGATTGTATTTTTTGTACTGTATTTTCGTCTGTAAATAATCTTATCCATATCTATATTGCATTGTTATAAATCCGTAAAAAAATTTATGTTTTTTTGTTTTCAGGCCTTCCAGTTTGTTTATTGATTTAAAAGATTAAATTTCATCTTCCTCAGAAACTATGAAAACGTTAATCAAATATGTTTGACTATGACCAGACCATAAAGTTAAATGAAAGCTTATAAAAACTACTTGTAAATATTTATTTTACTATTAAAAATATGAAAATTCTATTTTACAATAATAAAACAATTTAATTTAATTAAATAAATTTTAATATATTTTTCAATTGTTTACATCTTTTTTAGAAGATTAATTTTGGCTTTTAAAGCCATATTTTTATTACATTTAAAATATTATACAAAAAATAAAAATAAGTATGTTTTTTTTTTTTTTTTTAAATAATTATACAGAGCAGCGTTTTTAATTTAAATACAAATAATTATAATAAGTATAGACATGTATTGAAACAAAATCGAATAATATTTGTCTTATATTTGACATCAAATTTTTTATTTTATGCTTTAATTGCGTCTGATTATTACATAGAGTAACTATATAAGCAAATTATATAATAAAATTCTTCTTATATGCTTTCCCTAATACGCTTCGATATTTCATGAAATAACTAAATTACACACTTTAGCGATAACATACATATATATGTATATATATATATATATATATATATTTATTTATGCACATTTATATCAGAACATTTCTTAATATTATTTTTAATTTATTTTTATAATTTTTTTAAATATAAAATATCTTCTATATGCAATAAGATAATTATTTTTGTTTCAAAAAAAAGAAAAAGAAAAAGAAAAAAAAAGGAATACTCATTTGAAAAAGATAGTTCTTGTTAATGGATACAACAATATATAAAAAATGTATATAAAAAAGCTAATGAGACATTTTTGTTAAGTTTTATGATTTTTCTATTACCATCTTTGATACATTAACAATGATTTCAATTACAAATGTTCATTAGCAAAGTCATAAATCATACAATTTGGTACATTTAAAATAATGTTATTTTTTTATTTTTATTATTATTATTTTTGTATTTTACTTGATTAAGTATACTATCTTTTTTCCTTCTGAAATTTCAAGGACTATTTAATTAATGTAAACAATTAATAAAGTTTCATGATATCATTTTATCTAAGAAACAATAATATTTATTAAACGTTTACATTTCTATTATATGCAATTAGATGAGTACTATATTATTATGTTGATGAACAATATATATTATATTGATGAACAATGAATTAATGCTTATGAAACTTTCCTAACGATTGACGCTATTTTACTTTACTATCATTTACATATCACATTTATTTCATTTTGATCATATAATTTGGAGCAGCAGCTATTATGAAATTTTACGCCTTATAACGTTTCAATCAAAAGGAAAAAAGACGGTTTATGATCATACGAAGGAAAATGGTTTCTTCGATGTTATATGGTGCTGAATAATTAAAACAACATAAGAAATAGAGAAAAGAGAGAATAAGAAATGGGGAGACAGACTAAAAAAAAAAAGGAAAAAAGAAAGAAAGAGAGAGAGAGAGAGAAAGGAAAAGATAATGTGACACAGAATTTACAGTTTGTATTAAAAGAATGTATAACTAAAGATAACGATATAAGCAACAAAGGAATAATAATAAAAAAAAAAAAAGAAGAAAAAGAAAAAAAGAAAAGGCAGAGAATGCGGTAAATACAAAAGTTTACTGTAAACTTAGCAAAAAGTGATGTTTGGAATGCCTTGTATATGTGCCAGCTATTTATATTTACATTTATATTATTATAAAACATATTCTCAGAAGTCGCATCAAAGCTTTACTTTTGTCGTATACACATATACACTCTTTAAATAGTATTAATGAAAAGTGATCATTATATAAATCACTTACACGTATTGGTTTGTACCAATACTACTTACAATATAAGCAGGAGAGCAAAATAACAATTACAAAATATGCTGCGAGTCAGATATTATACCATTATATAAATTATGCTTTCTTAAATATAAATATTATTTGTAACATTTAAAAAAAATATATATATATATAATATATATATATATATATATATATATAATTGCATATAAGTAAAGACAAATACAAAAGAATGTACTATTACGTTACCCCTTACAGATAAATAATATTAGGATTATATTCTTATTATCTCATAATACTCGCAGTAGTTGTACCGCCTAGTTTGTTTTCTTCTCACTTGACATTTTCACGCTTTGACATCTATTATTCTGAGATTAGAACAATTGCGTGAATGATTTACTATATATGTAACTTGGTTCCTTAATTTTCAATCAATAAAAAGTCATGTAATTAAGAAATATAATAACTTAAAATTATTCTTTTCTGTTGTTTAGATTATAAAAACCCGAATCTCCTTGCCCTGTACACCCAGCCATAGTCGCTTCTCTTTTTGTCAAATTGTAAATCTTCAATGTGATATATTTCTCATGTCAATGAGAATACAATAAATCATATATAGACCGATGCATACTGTTAAACCAGTAATATATCTTATTTCTTTTGAAACATATTACATTTACATGAACTTTGTAAATATATACATACAATTTATGCCAAAGAGAACAAAAATATATCAAAATCTTTTTACTGAAGCATTTTATGTCAGAAACTATTTAATCATTTTACTGAACTGCACTACTATTCATTTTCTCAGGTATTTTATCTCTTATAGTATTAAAACAGATAGGCTACATTCTATATCTCTGTTATCACTTGTTATCTATCGCCGTTGATTCATCAGTCGACAATCAACGCTACACCCAGTTTTTTTTTATCCACTGAAAAGAGTTATTCTATTATCCTCTTAAAAAGTGAACTAACTTATAACAATTTATCAATTTAAAATGTATTCCAAAAAATTACTGTTCTACCTTGCAGTTGGTTTTCGTAAGTAAATATAAACAAGTAAATACTTAACTAATTGTATTATAAGCACATGAAAAATGTATAAAATACTTACAATATATTTCATGGTGAAATAGTTATTATGGGAATCTTTATCGACGAAACAGAAGCAAGACGTAAAATACTACGCGGTCGTAAAACAATAACAAGGCAATATTACAGTGAGTAAAAATTTGGAAATATTGATGAAATTTGTATATTCCTTTGTTTCAACATAACATTTCATTATTTCAATTATTTTAGGAGGTACAGCTATACCTGCATGGTCGATAGTACTACTCTGTGGGATTAGTATGTTACTCATAGGCGGTGGTCTTTATGTTTTACTACAAAAATTTGTAGTTGATGCAGCTGATACATCAAAAAGCCATTCGTATCAACCAGCATTACAAAATGAAGCATAATTTTTTTTTTTTTTTTTTAATAAATTATTATAATTATTTGTTTTTATATATACGTTTATCAAAATCATTAAATTATAATTCATGTATATCTTCTTAACTTATGTATCAATAGGATGGTGATCAATATATTTTTAATATTACATCTATCTGTATAAACACAGTGATAATATTTTATTTTTTCTCCATCACAATTACTTCAAATTTTGTATTTTGCATTAAGCAATGTCATTTAATATCATTATTAATCATTTCTCATTTCCAGGTTATTAATTGACTACAAATATTTAAACTATCAAATATTCCACGCATCATTAATTATATTGCATTTTCTTTTTCTTTTCTTTTCTTTTTCTTTTCTTTTCTTTTCTTTTCTTTTTTTTTTTTTCTTGTTAATAAAGAATTACAGTAATCTTTTAAGTAAATGAACTTAAATGATAAGAAATAATTATTGTAAAATTGTGTGCTGTCAAAAATAGTTGAATGATTTCTATCTTCTAATTAAAAGTAATTATAGAGAACAGCCTTGCGCTGTTACGAAATACTATTTACTTTTAAGACATATCAGGTTATTCACTTATATTTATTATACATTATAGTCAATCATTAATTGATAAGAAAAAAGAATCTACAATCTAGAATTCTCTACGATGATATTTATCAGGATCAAAATATGATGTAACTACTACACGGTTATTGAATTTACGTCCTGTCAAAGTCTGTTGTGCTTTTTGGCAATCGATAACGCTGTTAAACTCAACAAATACCTATAAAATAACAATAATAATATAAGTTAGACATAATAATGAAAAAATATCAATTAATCATAATGAAGAAATGAACAATTTTATAACATACTTTTCCACATCCTGGAACATCAACACCTTCAATAGGTCTTGGTATTTCTACTGATCGAACAACACCATATTTGTTGCATTCTTCCTTAATATCTTCTAAAATATCTTCATATTCTTCTTCTTCCATTAATTCTTCCGGTGTAACCATATTTAATAAGCAAAGAACCTGAAAATAATATGCAAAAGCATGTTATTTCAATGTTTGTACTAGTTTGACAATATTTATTTATATATTTACCTCCGTTGCAGGTCCACTTGTGCCTACCATAGACAGACCAGGAACCTGAATTTGTACAGGGGCTTGTGCTCCTATCATAGGATTCTTTGCACCAACAGAAGCTCGTTGTACAATTAACTTCTTGTCTCCTAGTTGCATACCATTTAATCCAGCAATAGCTTGATCCGTCATGGACACATCAACATATTCGCAAAAGGCATAACCTTTTGATAATCCTGTTGCTGAATCCTTTACTAAATTGAAAGCTCTCAGTTGACCAAAACTCATCAGTAGCTCCTTTACCTAAATTATTACAATGACATTATTTGTATATTTTCATGTAACTAATATAAAATGATCTATACTAATGTAAACCATGCAATTTTCCTTTTAAAATAATACAATTAATAATAATTTATCTTATATATGTTTGTTACTGTGAAAAACATTAATTTATTCTAATAATCATTGAAATGATTTCATTGGAAGATATTATACATCAAATATATGTACAAATATGTAATAAAATCAATTAATTTTTTTCTAAACGTATAATATTTGATAATCTATATGATTATATTAAAAAAACGTACATATTAAATAATTACTTCAACAAATACGTGATATAAAGTTAACAATATTTGTATAGTACATGTTTCATTTAAAAATTTCAATCAAATAGAAAATTGCATAGTATAAAAATATGAAATTGATTGTTGAATGTATAGATGATGTGCCTGGTAACACCTATTCGTAATGTTTATGCATTACTTTATTACATATAATATATAATTCTGCTTAGTACTTCCTTCCTAAACAAAATTCTAATATATCTAAATAATATTCTTCTTAAGTATAATTGTTCGTTTTTAGAATTTGTATAATTATTAATTATGTTTAAAGTATGTGTATATTATCTATATATATATATATATATATATATATGTATACATATATGTATATATATAGATAGATAGATAGATAGATAGATAGATATGGGTATTAATTAATATATAGTGATATTACTTACATGAGCCCATTCATCAAAGAAACTGTAAACTTAGAAATTTAGATAACAGCATGTTGCATCTATCGAGGAGGTAAAATACGACATACCATCCTCATATAGATTTAACAAAAATATTCCTGATCTCCTCACAAGCTAGCAACATGCTTTTACCGATAAATTCTACCAGAATATCAAAGAACGCACCATTAGTACAGAAGAATCACAGACTTCGGGAAAGGGGCTGCAAAATCGCATAAGCCCAATGTACGAAGGCATGAAAATGAGATAAGTACTTGCCTCGAGGGACTGGACTAGCCTCTCTCCAGGCAGTGTGGTATATTGTCATGTTCGGTAGTAGTAGTAGTGGTAGAAGTAGTGGTAGAAGTAGTGGTAGTGGTAAGCAAATGCTTTTGATCAGCGCGACCCTAAGCTAAGAAATGGGGAGAAAGGGCACTGGTATCAGTCCACAATTTACTTTACAGTAACCAAAGGATTTTACTTTTCATTCTATTTTAATCATATTTCACTGTAAGGAAACTTTTATTAACTCTCCAATGATGCAATATATAATAGCAGTTGTTTACTTTTGTTTCTCTGTCACTCTCAGTATTTTCTCTTTGCCTAAAGACACATTACTGAAATTTGAAAACGTAAATTTCATTTGCGTAACCTGTAAACGCAATAAGGCACAAGATGAAGATCTGTAAAGCCTGTAAAGAAAATAGCTGCAAGGGAAAAAGAGATATTCCTGAAAAGAATAGATACCAGAAGACTTGGAGCTGTTACCAGATGCACATAAAATTATGTGTTGACCCTGTAATCCCATCCAAAATAAAACCAATTTGCTAGATAAAACGTTGATTTGTTTCACTTGTAGAGCTATAAAGAGTCTGTATGTTGCATAAGCATAATTGCCATGAAAAATCTTGATTACTCTGTAATAATATTCCTGTCAAGTATACGTTTTGTTTATTGATGACATGATTTTTTTTCATCATTCTATGTAATACAATCTTTACTTTTTATCCTTTTATTTTTTATCCTTTTATTTTTTATCCTTTTATTGTGCTTTCTCATTTAATGAATAATAATGCAATTGCAACAACTTCCCTTCCCTTCTTATATTCCGACTGCGACGACACTTTTGCTAAACTATTCTTGTTCTAGTTAATCAAATAAGAATTTCTTTGGCTGGACCTAGAATATGCCTAGAAAGGATTTAAAAGAAAAAACGACCGCTGCGACTGCATGCCATTTAAATGCTGCAACGAAATGCTCTAACGATTTTTCTTTCTTATCTATACCTATCTACAACTTTCGGGACAATTTGTGACAATGATAAAGGAATGATAAGAGAAGATATTGAACGCATTTGCTAATCATCCACAGAGATTGATGAAAGCGAAACCTGATTTTCCTACCTAATGACCTAAACGACGCAGAAATCCAGTGGATACACATACATACCTCTGTAGAATTTTGGCAGACTGGTACACCTTCCTCTGTTTAATCTCCGCTAAATAGCTAAGTACCTATGTTATAATGTAATCCTTTTGTTTAACTCGTAATGCTGAGGATTGACATGATCAATAATCCTACAGCAATAGAGTCCTAACATTTTCGCATTGCAGTTATTTCCCAATCATTGATGCTTTTTTCTTTCTTTTTTATCATTTTTATACAAGACTAAATACATATTCAATAATCAAAAAAAGTTAGCTTCAATGAAAGAGAACTGCATTTAAAAGTGTGCAGTGAATACAAATGGATTAGTAGATTTATTTGCATACCTGTTCCTCATTCAAATAATTTGGTAGACCACCAATGAAAATCTTGTGTGGGGAATCTGTAATTAATACGTATTACATATATATTAAATTGATTATATAATATTACAATATTATTAACACACATTGACGTCAGAAAGTTTAAGGCCTAATATTATACAACTGATGAAAAAAATAAAAGCTCATTTTTGGGAATTCCTTTCTCCAAAACTAGGAAAGATATTAGCATGTAATTTTTTTTTTTACATTTTATTATCTATATAATTTTCTTCTTTTTCTTTCCAAAAATTCAAAAAGAATTCTTCATTTTTGTATAAATGACTATCGCATAAACAAGGGAGAAAATTGATTTAGTAAAAAGATTATAAAAATAGCGACACACAAATCGAGTGTATAGTGTTTTGTTTAAGGGGACACGTCAACAAAAAAATCGATTTTTTTTTTTTTTTTGATTTTCTGAAAGAATATTATTTCAAAAATATTTCTTCAAATTTTGGTAAAGATCCGCGCATTATTTACGAAACTGTAGTAGTTTAAACGTTAATTTCTCCTATTCGCGTTTTTAAAACGGTTGCCCTCGCTGCGTCCAGACCATTTATCCAATCCTTACCAAATTTTGTACAGTAATACTAGATACACGTATCTAGGGAATGAACGAAAGGATTTTTCGAAAAAATGCCAATTTTTCTTTTTTTTCTCAAAAACTCGGCGATTTTTTGGACTCTTAGAAAAGTGACAACAGACAACACAATTTACAATATTTTTACACACACAAAAATTGTGAATATAGTTCAGATATATAACTTACATATACCAAAGATTTGTATTGATATTATTAAAACTGGCTGCAAAAAAAATTCACAGAAAAACCGCTTTTTTTTTACACTCGAAGGTGACGTGTCCCCTTAATTGGTCGCTAATTTGTTCATTTTTTACTAAATTTATATTTTCTAGTTCATGTGATAGTCATTTATATACAGATAAAAAAACTTTTTCATTCTTTTTTTCAGATATTCTCGATTATCGTGCCTGCAATTGTTTTTTACGTGCTATTTTGAATTAAAAAGAACTTTAATTCTTACAAGTTACAAAAAAAAAAAAAAAAATGATTCAAAAAGAGTCAATAAATAAAATTAAAATAAATTACATATTAATAGATTTCTTAGTTTTTGAAGAAAAAATTCCCCAAAATTACTTTTTACTTTTTTGGTTCAAGTGGTATTGCCGATGACTTAAACAAGAAATCCCCCCCCCCCAAAAAAAAAAAAATTCAATTATTTCAATTCCCGAAACATCTATTATGTTTTAACAAAGAAAATTAAATCCATTTATTATGTTCTTTGGATTTATTTCTAGGATATATGAAAATCTTAACCCTTTGACTGCTATGGGCGCATATATGCTTCCAGCGAAAACTATTGGTGTGGCCTCATGTATGCTCATATATGCGTCCGACGCAAGCCATCGATATAGACTATGGACGTAAATCCGCGTTCGGCAAAGTTTTTGCTGTTAACTGCTGTCTTATACATGGTGCATCTAAAAAGTTTGGTGAATGGTCCCATATTTTACAAACCGCACTGGCAAGGATGAGATGCTCGCGCATAACACATTGAAGGACATGTCAACAAACGCTTCCTATCGTGCAAAGCATTGCAGTGAAGCGGTGATACATGCTGCGACCAAGCTAACAGGGTCAGTGTGAGAACTCGTATCATTGCAACATGGAGCGCAAAATGAAGCAAAATGCTCAACTTTCTTGGTAGACGCGAGCTCACTGTGCTTCCACATCCTTTTCTTTCTATTTTCCCGCCTTAAATTAGCCCTGAAAGGCTTACGCTTTGCAACGGTTTTGGAGTTCGTGAGCTTGACCGCAGGTGCTTCGAGCGATTCCACAAGAAGCGTTTGCTGACAGTTTCCAACAGCTGTACAACCGATGTCAGAAGTGCATTGTATAACCAATGGCGATTACTTTGAAAGCCAGTAAAGGTATTTTGTTTGTAACTCTTGTTTCCTTTATTTCCTGAGGCCATTTATCGAACTTTTTAGACACACATTGTATGCAGGCTTGGAATACGAAAAAAAAGTATTCAATCCCCAGCGATGGCTACTGCTGGCCGCACGCCGCTCACGCTAAGAGCTCTAACTTAGAGTAGTTAGCAGTCAAAGGGTTAATTACCAGGGTTTTCGCATCATCCAACGCCAATGTGTTTATATAATTGTATACTGTACACTGATATATAAAATGTATGCATAAAACATACCAGGAACCGTACCTGGCACGTTCATGCTTGGATTATCTGTCATTCCTGGCATTGGTTGATAATCATGAGGTCTTCTTATTTTTAAACTTTGTCCTTTAAAATTAATCCCATCAAAGGCCATAGCTTGTGTAGTTTCATCTATTGAACGAAACTAAAATAAAAGAAAATTAATATAAATATAGAAATTCTTAATAACGATTATATATATATATATATATAACAAAATTAGAATTTCTTTATACTTGATGGTAAAACAAAAAAAGAATCCTATACTTTAAAGATTTATAGTACTTATTAAAATGAGTAAAACACATGTCTTATTAACACACTATCGACGGGTCGGGTATTTCTACCCGTTCCATAGACTGGCGCTGGTCAGCGGGTCGCGTATTAATACGTGTTAAGAAGAACGTAAGCTAAGTTTCAGTAAAACACTTACTAATGCTTGTTTTTTTGTAAAGCCTAACCAGTGTTTAGTCTTAAATTTATGAATTTTTAAGAAAAACTAATAATTTGATGAAATGTGCTATTTAGACACTGCAAGTTTTGTGCTTACAAAGTAGCACAAATTCAGTTGATTGATTTTGATAACATTGAGTTTAAATTTTTTACATTTTCGATATACTATTTGATAGCTATTTTTCAAATTTCATTGAAATCCTACTATTAGATGTGAAAATATAACATGTTTTTTAGTCTCGTATAAAAATATTTTTGTATACATTTTCGACTTATTTTTTCATGTAAAATCACTCCCTGTTCCCTTATATCATCTGTTATAAAACACACTATGTATACGTAGGGTAAGTCAGCTAACGTTGGTATCTTAAATATCTTTGTTGTTTTGAAAAATAAGTCATATGCTTTTCCATAAGGAAAAAGTTGAATGGTTCAGTAGAGCTCATATAATGCTAAAAATATTTTATTTTTTAAAACAGAATCATTATTTTTTAAATTCCTACAATAATAGTCCCTTTCGTTAAGAATTTAATGTCTTTAATTTTCAAGGTCATTCAAGGTCACGAACAGAGAAAACGAATCTCATGAAGCGAAAAATTCCTTCTTAGTAAACTTTGGTTAATATCTACAAGTTATTTAGAAATACTGGAAGTGTAGATGTAAAAAAAAAAAAAAAAAAGCGTAAACGTAAGAATCTCATGAGTAATAAACACAATGTAATATTATTATTTTTTTCAGATATAGAAATTAATCCATATATAAGCACGAGAAAAATTGTCCAAGAAACACTTATAAGTCATAATAGCGTAATACAAATTTTGATCTGACAAATTTTATCAGTTTCTCATATCGCTACATCAGGAATAATATAAAAGTAATTTTAAAAATTGAATAAATTTTGGTCAATAGGGATTGCGTTAAAATCATTAATTTTTTTTCTAATGTCATTTTTATAGATGAAACAACATTCAGTAATCAAAACTGAATTAATCTATGGAACACTCATTATTGATCTGTTGATAATCTGCAGTGACTTCGAAAACTTGACAATTAAAAATAACAGAACGTAAATGTATGATATGGTATTTTAAATGAGCAAGTAATCGGACCACAATTCATTATCAGAACAATGATAAGACAAAAACATTTTCAATTTTTGCAAGAAAATCTACCTATCCTGTTGGAAGATGTTTTTCTACATCCCTGTTCTATCTATTATGCCCGATTAGCAAGAGATATATTAGATTCTAGGTTTCTGAATTGATGGATCAGTACATTCGCCTGATTAAAATACACTGAGATCATGTATAATGATATATACGATAATCAGCACAATATGTGCGAATATTAACCTGAATGTACTAATTAGAGTATAATGTACTATTCAGGTTACTTTTCTACGTTTATAGCAATGTATCCACGAAATGATCATCTTTTCGATGATCCTTCAATAACCTTCAATAATTATAGTCACTGAATTCCTAATGAAAGAAACTACTATCATTGTAGATGTTCAAAAAATGGTAGTTTCATTTAAACAAAACATGAGATAACATTGATATCTTTTACAAATATAACAAAAAAACATAAATATTTTTGGCATTGTGTGCATGAGCCCCATTGAACCGTTCAACTTTTTCTATAAAATATTTGACATATCTTTAAAAACAATAAAGATATTTCAAGTATCAACTTTAATGAACTCATCCTATATGTGTATATATAAAAAAAAAAAAAAAAAATAAAATATTATAATTTATTATTATACCTCCAAGAATGCAAAGTTCTTATCTAGATTGATCTGACAAGCAAGGACTGGATTCCCTGCAGCTTGTGCAAGGCCTGATAAATGCATTTGTTGATTGAAAAATTCCATCATCTCTTCTTCTGTGACTCCAAATGGAATATTACCAACATATAATCTTCTTGCTTGACGAGTGATCGTACTACCAACAACAGGGACAGCAGCTTGAGGAGTATCTGCTACAATATTTGCAGGTATTTGGCCAGCAGCTTGCATTGCTTTATACTGTTATACAAAGAAAAAATAAATATATTAATATTAAATTAATTACTAAATGAAAACAATTAACGTATTGTATGTCAGCCCTATATTATCATGGTATTTTCAATCTATCACTTGTTTAAGCGTACATATCAAATATTCAGTTAACACATTAAGCGCCGACCCCACGGGGAGCTAACCCAGGTTACCGAGTCTATCGTTTGATAAATGTTGCGGAATATTAGGTTGGGGACAAAGTAATCCATTATTTTTTCGGTAAATGGCTGTAGTGATTGATATCTCGCAAAATATTAATCAAACAATTTCAAATTTATGCTTGTTAGAAAGGTGACATTTGGAGCTAAAAAAAATTCCTTTACCGTTTTTTCTTTGGTCTATTCAGTTGTGACTTACAAGGTGTTAAAAATGGAAGTCAACAAAGAGAAAATTCGGTACATTTCACACTTTCTTTTTTTATAAAAACGAAAATTCAAGTCAGGCGACAGTGAATGATGTTTATACTCTCAATATTGTAACAGATAATTACATGCAATTTTGGTTTTGTCGATTCGGTTCAGGTATTTTTGATGTTAAAGATGCACCTAGCACAGGCTGGTCTGTCGTCGAAAATGTCGATAAAATCACAGAAATAATCGAAGTTGACCGGCATATTAGTAATCGTAGCATCGCCCAGGAGCTAAAGATCGACCATAAAACAGTTTTAAACCATTTGCGCAAAGCTGGATTCAAAAAGAAGCTCGGTGTTTGGGTGCCACATCGAATAACACCAAAAAACATGATGCATCGAATTTCCATCTGCGAAGCCTTTGCCAAACGGAATGAAATTGATCCATTTYTTAAACGAATGGTGACTGGGGATGAGAAAAGGATCACATACGACAATATTGTGGGAAAACGATCGTGGTTAAAGCGCCATGACGTAGCTCAAACGGTGGCTAAATCAGGACTAACGGCCAGGAAGGTTCTACTGTGCATTTGTTGGGACTGGAAAGGAATCATTTGTTATGAGTTGCTTAAATATGGCCAAACACTAAATTCGGATCTCTACTGTTAACAACTGGACCGTTTGAAGCTAGCGATTGACCAGAAATGGCCAGAATTGGCCAACAGGAGAGGTATTGTGTTCTATCAGAACAACGCCAGGTAACACATGTCTATAGTGACTCCCCAGAAGGTCCAGGAGGTTGGTTGGGAAGTTTTGATGCATCCATCATATAGACCAGACCTTACACCAAGCGATTACCATCTTTTTATTGCACTGCACAACTTTCTTATTGATAAGAAATTAACATTAAAAGATTGTAAAAATCGATCATTAGAGTTTGTCGCAAATAGGGACCAAGACTTTTGAGACAGGCATGGTAAAGCTACCTTTAAAACGGCAATAAATTAACGAACAAAACGGTGCATATTTGACCAAATCAGACAACCAGAAGTATGTTAAATAAAGGCTTGAAGTTAACGTAAAAATAATGGATAACCTTTTCCCCAACCTAATATTTTCTTTTGCTACTCGTCGTTTAGAAACATGCATTAAGTCCAGCGTTTCAGTTTTTGTAAAAATGAATAAAATGATTAATTTAATTTTGATATTCTTTCAAATGTTCATTTCCCATATAAACCAACAATGTGATAACTGGCACTTGAGCTTTCAATAGCTAATATTTAGCCGACATAAAATGTATAAAAATGAACATTTAAATGTTCTTAAGTTACCTGCAAAGGTGTAATATGTTCAAATCCAGGTGGTGGTACATCCCAATATAAGGATGGTTTTCTCCTTCTGGAACTACGACTTTTTTTAGGAGAACTGCTTCTTTTACGGTCTCTACGGTCTTTGGAACGAGACCTTGATCTCTTCCTACGTTCTCTACTACGTGATCTGTGTCTCCTATCACGATCTCTGTCTCTATCACGGTCCTTGTCTCTATCTTGTCTCTCTCGATCTTACAAAATAAAATGATAATTATGAATTAATATTCAAATAATTATTAAAAATAATATTTTCTTATATTTAATATAAATGATATCTACATTCCAGATTTAACCCTCTATAGTTCTCTGATGTTAAATATTTACAAATTCACATTTTTCTCTACTTACTTAAATTTTGTTCTTAAATGTGACATACGTATATTGTTCTATAATTTTTCTTTGTTAATTGGTAAAATTCTATGCAGCTATTACCAACTCTAACTTGAGATGTTGTAGTAAATCTAATATATAATTCATTGTTAATTTGTATTTATGAATTAATATTTGTTGATTTCAGATTACAAATATTTTTGTATAGTTCCAACAAAATTTAAACTATAGAAAGTTGTTTGCTATGTTTTAATAACACCAATTTCTTTAAACCAGAAAGACAACAGGTAATTTCTAATAGCTTTTATATATATATATATATATATATTTGCTATTTGTAGACATGTCAAATGGTTTGAGATTATTTATATAAATATATATTATTTATTTCATTATATATATATATATATATATATATATGTATGTATAATATATAATGAAATAACATGCTTTAACATCAGTCAATTAATCAAAAGAAAAGAAAAAAAGAAAAATCATTCAGACAAATTTGTTTATGCGTACAAGTGTAGCTCTCCGGCCATTACATTCATAGAAATCCACTTATCTCGACATAACGCGGGAAGACTGATGAAGAACGAAGATAAAAAAATCCTATTAAAAAATTTACCTCCATTAAAATCTTCTCCCATCTTTGATCTCCTTATGCAAGAGTACTATACTATATTATATGAAAATATGTTGAAAGAAAACGTTAAAATCTATAAACGTCAGCCGCTCCCAAAAAGATTTTTATACCGAAATGGCGTGAGAGTAACAAGAAGAATAATATATCTTATCTAGTCGCCACCAGGTGGCACGAAAATCACTTTCAAGCGTGTTCCTTGCTCCAGCTCAGTGTTTCTCAATCTTTAATAATTTTAAATAATTTTAAATTTGATAGCACACTATTAATATTAAGAATATTATATGTATAATATTATCTAATGATAGATATAGATTATTAATTGTAACATTCTGAATATTTTCAAGAATCTACGTGTGAATGTTATTGAAGGTATAGCCAATCAAATTGAAATTTATCGTTGATTAGTAAATGATATAGTTTATGTAATTTATCTGTTTATTCCCTCTTATATCACTTGCATCATTTGTTTCAAAAACCAGTGCCAAATGCCAATAAAACCGACCATGCAAAATTTTAAGTAKTATTATTATTATTATAGGTTATAAAAAATAATATGTAAAATGTTAGATTAAATTGATTATAAATTTAAGTATTATTATATAAGATTATAAAAAGTAAGGTTAGGAATTATTCAAAAAAAAAAGAGGAGAATAAAATATTGGATTTATTCTTCTTGTAACCCCACTTTTTGTACGCTCATGTCCAATAAGTTGGAAAGCGCACATCTGGCTATGAACGGGATGGGTAATTTTCTTGATAATTATTGTTAGATGGTAAATAGATGGTAAATAGTTCTACAAATATGGATCTATTCATGGACGTACTATAAAAGAAATATAAAATAATAAAGTAAAAGTAATGTAAATTCAATAATATATACGTAAACTAATAATAATACAAGCGGCTTGTATATCAGTGAGAAATATGTGTTTGTTGTTTTTGAATAATTTCTTTTATATTTCGACGCAAAAAAGGCAAAAAAGAAAAAAAAAAGGATAAAGCAACTCTCACGTTATGTTCAACGTTTCCAAGTATTGATCTCTTTTTATATTTTATATTCGTTTATACAGAAAATCCAAATTCGCACAAATCAAATATTGAACATATTTCAATTGGAGAATTAATTCTAATTTCTAAATACAGCTACAAAATGTTCTTTAAAAGAAATTCAACAAGAATTATTAAAGATATTTTCGAATATTTTATTTTCAAATTTCTGTTGCTCGAACAAAGTATTTTCTAATGAAACCGTTCTTTTTTTTTTTTTTTACATTTGCTCGCCATATTTTAAGTTTTTGTTAGATAGCTTAGTTATTTTATGTTAATAGTGAACCAAAACGAAGACAAAAAGAACTACCTACTTAATTACATTAATTTAAGGGGAAAAAATTGATTATACATTAATTTGAAAATATGAGCGAGCGAAACACTTCTTCAAAACCTTTCGCGACATAATGATTGAGAAACACTGCTCCAATTTTAGAAATGATGATACACGATACACAATGTTTTACATCTCATAATAAAAGTTGCAATAAATTATCGATTAAATATAATAATTTATGTAATAAATCTTAATAAACAATATAATGTATATAATTGAATATATTTCTATAAATGAAGGAAATATAAATTCCCTAGGGTTACTCTTTATAAAATGAAATGATCAGGATTGGTTAAATTTTAATTGGTTGCTAGGACATTTAAAAATGTATCCTAATCGTATTTTTGTATAAAAACCAAAATGATATATAATACGAAAGACATATATTATGATATATGTAGAGTTTTTTGATGTTTTAATATAAGATATATGTATGAACATAGCCGTATTTTAAATAATACACCATACCAATATTTCGATCGTTCACAAAACCTTTCTAAGGTTTACAATTGAAATAGTTTAATTAATGAATGAAATTTGGTGAGAAAGTGAAAAACTTCTTAATTTCAGTCATTTTATAAATGATCATTTTGATAGAAGTAAATGTAGGTAATAATTGACATTACAGAAATATGGAATATAAACAAGTATTGGAAGAACGTTTGAGAAAGGCTTCTTGTATTGGGGACACAGATGCAGTTCAGGAACTTGTCAATTTAGGTGTTGATGTTAATACACGACATAATGTTAACGGATGGTATTCATTATTCATGATATTATACATTAAATTATACGAATGTCTATTTTGTACAAATCAATTCTTTTCAATTTAGTCATAATTGCATGCGTCATTATTTCATGTTTCTTATCTCATCTCTTTTGTAAATAATGTTTTGTTTTAAAAGGACACCATTACACTGGGCTTGTAAAAGAGGCTTTTTGGAAGTAGCTGCTTTACTATTGAAACATGGTGCTGATAAAAATATAATGTCGGAAAGTGGGGAAACAGCAGTATCTTTATGCACCAATCAACAAATTTTACAATTATTGAATTCTGATATTCAACCAAACACTAATGGACCAATGATACATCAATTTATGCCTAAATGTATAAAAAATGAACTTTTAACTACTAATATAGATTCTGTACAGCATTTAGGAGCGAATCATAATCGATGCGAATTGAAAAATAACAATCATTTGCAAGATGGTAAGAAAGATGCTGTTTACCATGCTGTTTAATCAGTTAGCTGTGCCAATCTTTTTTAAAAAGGAAATCTTCATTATGTTGCTAAAATGAAATTATTACAAGTGTATATACTTTTCAAACACAGAGTATATGTAGCTGTTATAATATTTAATTAAGTTATAATCGAATGATTGTTTTATTTTTTATATAAAATTCATTATTTCATTACTAACATTTATTTATTTACTTAATTTAAACATATAGTTTCCATATGAAAGAGAAAAAAACAAAACAAAAACTAGGTAAAATACATAATGGCACTTTACAATTCAAATACCAATATGTTGTTTCTTCTTGAATATTATTTTTGTAACGACACATTCTCATGTAAGATTATACTTTGAAAACGTGTAACGTTAGATTTAATTGGTCAAGTTTATTATACTTTGTTTACATTAAATATAGTATTTTTCTAATAATTATTTATATTACTTTTTTGGTTTTATTTCAACTTGGTCTTCAAATATTTGAAACAGCTTGAAATTTACGAATATACCCTAGTAGCACAAAATATTGAAAACTATTGAATACATGTGTATTTAATATTAAAAAAGGATTTAATGTCTTTTAATGTTTACTAAAATTACAATTTAAATAACAAACATTAACTACTTTTTTTCGCATGACTAATATACTCGTTAATCACACAGCTAACTGATTACAAAATTATAAAGATATATATATATATATATATATATTTTAGATAACTTTAATAAATATTAGTATATTTTTATAGAATTAGTTGTTAAATTACGTATCGCAAATGCACCTGATCCTGACTTCGTCGAGGTCGAATTACCTATGAATGATTTAACATACCAGACATTAATACAAACATGTTGCGAAGAATTTGGATTATGTCCGTATCAAATTTTGAAATTACGAAAATTACCGAATACTAAACTGAGGAAAGATAAAGATGTAAAACGACTTCAACATTTTCAAGAAATAGAAATAATAACAGATCCAGCTAATGTATATAAACATATGCAATATTCTAACAGTGTTCCTAATAACGTTTTACCAAGTCCAGCTAACGGATATCAAAGTATTTCTAATAAAGATCAGACTATTTTATATTAAATTTATATTTTAATTTATTTATATTAAAATTAGAGTAAAATAAGAATAGATATTTCCATTTTCTTTCTATCATTTTTAAATTTTAATAAAAAATAAGAATGTAATAATTACATATTATAACAAAATATAAACAAACGCGTTTACATGTATTTGTATTTAGAGTAATATAATCAATAACAATTTGTTTTTAGAATTAATAAATAATGATATTCTAAAAATATACAATTATTTATTTTCATTATGTTCTTTACTTTCTTCTTCTTTTTCATTTTCTTTATGTTCTTTACTTTTTCTTTTTTTATTCCCCAATTTCTTTGAAGATGTTTTCTTGACTATAACATCACCCTCAGGAGTAACTACGACTTTGGCATTGCTAGATAAAGTCGTAAGTTCACCCTCAACATTACAATATGCTTTTGGTCTTTTAGGTTTAACAACAGGAATAGAAACAATATTTTTATTTCCTAAAAATAAAATTTGAAATTAATGAAAATAATTTACAGGAATATTGTAAATTTATAATACTTACTTAATGTCATATATATAGGAAATCCTGGACCAACAGGAGTTTTTAATCGAATGGCACGAATATTTGACCAACCACCAGGATAAACATTATTCAATTGATTACAAACAGCAATAACATTATCTAAAATGTTTTTCTTCTCCATAGAAGTATTTGCCACTTGTATAATATGAGTATCAGCTAAAGAATGTAATCGCATGTTTGTTTTTCTTAATGCATATTCAATTTCACTTTTTAAATCTTTCTTATCCATTTTGATGGAAGTTGGAACTTTACGTTTATTATAAAATATTTTTCCTAATAAATGCGATACATGTCCAGAAATTCTTCCATCTACTAAAAAGTGATCGTAGCTTTCGACAAGTTTTCTTTTTAATTCATATTGATCATATTCAGTCTTAATTTGGTTAATGGGTATAATGTCTTTGATTATTGTACATCCACATTTTTCAAGTAACTCTTTATAATGATTTACCGTTGGTTCGTAATCCTTTCTTCTACCTTTTTCCAGATCACATACAATTAGGGCGATATCATCTTCCAATGATGCTAAAGAATTTGGTAATAAGCTATAACAAAATATGAATTATAAAATAGTAAATGTAATTTCAAATAGGAGAAGAACAATCAAAATACATTAAAGCAGCATCATTGAATAAATTATAATCACATGATTTTTTTTTTCATAAGGATCCATTGGTAATTATAAAAGAATAATCATTTGCTGACTTTTTAATCATAAATTAATGAACTATGCAAGAGAATACTTAAAATTATAATATGAAAAATTAGTAAAAAATAAAATATGTTTTCTTCATTTAACAATACTATAAAATACTATAAAACTTACATTCTTACTTGTCTTCTTGGTACTTGTGGTACTCTGATACAAGTAATCTGCATAAATATTGGTTTATACCCATCAGAAAATAATACATTTGTATCTTTTAATTGTTCTTCTGTTAGATGAAAAATAGCTGAAATACACTGTTGTATATGCTCCCTTGATAAATCTTTGAAATCAGTATCACTCTCTACACAAGTAATGTCTTCTGTAATAATTGCTTTCGGCTTTTTAATACCAGTATCAGAATTAACTTTTAATTTTTTACTTTTCTTCATTTCAGAAAGAACTTTGCTTTTTTTCTTTACATTATCAGTATTATTTTGTATTTTTTCGCTATTTCCGGTTAATTTCTTTTTTCCTTTAACCGAATCAAATTTTATTTTTTTCTTATTTTCTATAGATTTTGAATTTAATTTTCTCTTTTTTTTCTCTTCAAACGTGATACTTAAATCATCATTTAAAGCTTTTCTTTTTTTTGTTACACTTTTTAACGATTCCATGTTCAAGCACACGTGGTCCGCTTCCTATCTTCTTGCAGCAAAGAACGAAGAACGAAAGAACGTGGCAGGCAGCAACGATTCACATATTCATACAAGATATAGCAACAAAGTTAGACAAACTCGATGAAAATTTTTGATCATATACAGTGGCGCCTACTAGTGGTCAAACTATTATATATTATATAACTTTTTTATTATATATATATTTTATTATATATTATATATATTATTATATATTATATATTTATATTTATTATTTATTATATATTTATTTTATAAAGAATATGAAGATGAATCTGATTAGAAAAAATTAGGGATCCTATAGGAGGGATGCGCAATGTACATTGCTAGGGGACCGGAACTCGATTTTGCGCGCGAATGATTCAAACATTGAAATAATTATGAAATAATAAATTGCATCAAATACAGAAAAAAAATGAACTATATTTAATGATAATTAAAAATTTATATTAAAATAGAATAGGTTACACGAAAAAATTATTATAAATTCGAGCGGTCCCCCAAAATTTTCAGCCAATGGCACATGAGCTGAATATGAATGGCGCATCCCTCCTACAGGTTCCCTAGGAAATATTAACCAGTAATCGCAAACTTATTGTTAATAGTGTCAATTAAAAATTATTAAAAATTAAATAAAATAAGCCTGTAATTCATATGTGCTAAAAAATTTAATATTTACAAGTAATAGAAAACTTAATTTTATTAAAATCTAGTTTTTTTTAGTAATTTTAACAAAAAGAAAATATATCTATTTAAATACAAGAAAAGTTTAGTAATAATTAATGCTGTTTCTGTATTATTCATTTGTGAAATAGTTTTCTTACGATCTCGACAATTAATTTAAAAACAACGTTATTAGAGGTAAGGAGAATCATCTCATACATAGGGGAGAAAATTTGAAAAAGTGCCCAGTTGTATGCTATAAATAACAGTTCAAAAACCTTCTAGAATGGCGTTGGTGTAGACAAAGGATATGGTATGAATGTAGCAATTGTAAACGAATTGAAGTATGCCGAGTTAAAATAATTTAATATTATTGGCGACTAAAGTAGTTTGTGGGAAATCCAATGACCGCGGGCCGAATGGCTTGTTACTGACCACCGTAACGACCAATGAGGAAGCCGGACACGACAAGGGATTTCACCTTTTTTATTTGTGATCTCTCAGAACAGATTTTATTCAACAAAATACAGAATTTATAACACACGCACAATGAGATACAGAATGATAAATTGATATGGAAGAGAGAGCAAGCGCAGTCGACTGATAAGCTTGGCGAGTGTTATCGAACTCCTGTCGAGAAATCCGTTGGATCGATGATCTCCGAGAAGCGAGGAGATGATCCGGGATTTTCGTCACTAGGCCCGACTAATCAGATTCCCAGGCGCAATTACGCCGCGAGTTCTGACCAATCAGCCGCCTCTACATCATGGTCTGGTTACAAAGCCGAGGCAGAAAGTGTCGCTGCAAGACACGCGCACCTCTAGTAGTTTTTTGGTACGTCTGCCGAACTTGGTGCTAGCAGCCGCGAGATGTCGGCACCGTCCTGGTGCAAGACATCGGAGCCACGGATAGTCAACCATGGGGTGTCAGCACCTAGCAGGTGCGGGACGCTACAAGTTAATTATTGAAAATTTCAACACTTGCATAGCACAAAATAATATAGTAAATATAACCTTAAAGAATTATTATGAGAAAACGTGTAGCTAGAGTGATTTTATTTCGTGAACTGTGAATAGTACGTTTATTGATTTTTTATCATTTCATTTTATGAAAAAGTATGTGAATAACAAAACAGTTATGGGTAAAGTTTGTGTTGTGAAAAGTTGTCCAAGTGGGCGTAAATCCAAAAACAGAAAAGATTATTCGCCTCAGTCTATTTCGTATTTCCAACCAACAGTATGTAAATCAATTTTTTATGAAAAATTTACTTTACAAACAATTGCTCATTTTTATAATTTTTTTAATCAATGAAGACATATTCATTTTTTATTTATCTAATTTCACAGACACCGGCGAGATTACAAAATTGGAAAATTTCGTTGGGCATTGAATTAAAAGCTACTGATTACATCTGTCAATTCCATTTTAAAGAGGACCAAATAAAAATGTACGAGAAATTTTACATAAAAGGAGAGACCATGTATATGCCTACAGAAAGAAAAAAGCTTAAAGAAGAAGCTTTACCAACGATTCAGCATCAGTTTATTCCAATATTTGAACATGTGTTTTTAACAAATACTGTAGATGAACTGGAAAAGCCAAGCTTACGTTCAAAAGGTTCTGAAGACGAACAGCTGTTTCAAATGCAAGAAAACAACATCGAGCCACAGAAAATATTAGCATATGAAGATGTTTCTAATAATCTAATAGGTGCTGGTGTTCAAAGTAAACAAGACTTGATAGAACCACCTTTCAGTCAACACGCATCTAAGGATTCGAAGAATCTACAAGAAATCAAAGTTCCAAAAATTCCGCCGTTTTGGCTGTATGTACCCAAGTCCAATGGATTTGTATTTATGCGAATGGATCCAACAACTCAGCAGATCAAAATTCGGTTACGCTTAAACGAGGATACATCTATTACTGTATGTATTAATTAATGTCCGATTAGATATATCTATTTTTTTTTTTTTTTTTTTTAATAACAATCATTAACTTCTATTTCAGGTTATTTTTCCTAACAATGAAGAACTGCCTCTAAACGAGAAAATTAATTCATTAAGTAATGTCTATGATTACTTGAAATCAGTGGAAAGATGGCCTTTATGTGTTGGCACTCAGATTGACAGTATTAAGTAAGGATAATTTATTTTTACATAATTAAATGTATGAGCTATACTAAGAAGAGGATTCATACGAATTTAATTAAAATAATTACATTAATTTTCAGGTATTCCAAACTTTGTAAAAATGTGATTATCGGTGATGAGACTTATAAAAGAAGCCAAGCTAATCCAAGATGTAAATCCTGTCGAATGTTACGGAAACGACTACAGGCTCGAATGTTACGGAATCGACTACAGAGTCGAAATTCGACTTCAAATAATTTGGAAACAACTGCTACAAAAAAACGTGCTTCAAAACGGATTAAACAGTGCAGAAGTCTTAAAAGAATGGTAAGTTTTGTAAAATACAATTGTTTTTGGTTTGAAGCAGCATTTCATTCTAACCATTATTCAAAATTTATTAATTTAACAATTGAAATCGTTTCTGATTATACGTTAATCACAGTGATCCCAGAGACTTTAATTCGTCTGATCGACACAGGGGCGTTAAATTATCGTACGCCCTGGGAAAAATTTGAAATCCGATAATTTCTCGGACGAGATTTTCAAAATCTGGAAAAAGAGTGCAAGTTCCAACTTTTTCAAAGTTGATGACTTTTTTTTCTTTTAAGTCATCAAGTTCAAAACCCTATCGTAAAAACGGTACAAACGGCGTACGCAGGGAGAAATATTTGCTCCTGCAGAGATCGTACACGGATCGTGGTGGCGGT